CTTCTGTCTCTGTCTGGGAGCGCTCTGGGAGTGACAGTTTTTCTTTTTAATCTGTGCCTGCATTGTGGAGAAATTGCAAGCTAATGTTTTGGCTATAGATCACTCAACAAATCGCCGGTGGCGGTGCATATCTAAGGCAACTGTTTGAATGCAACCATTTTCCACAAAAGCTAATATGGCTTATAGATGTCAGGAGCTCTGTAACTGTGGTCCATCCTGAACCACATCACAGATAAATCACTTCACAACTAAAGCTCTGGATATGGACACTTTCATCTTTCTGTAACATAACTTTAATTGTTTTGCTTTTGTTTTTTATATATTTTTATAACAGCCACTGATTTACTAAGGTATTCTTCTGCTGACCAATTAGAAGAATGGGTCAACCTGAACGCTTTTTATTAGTAAAGCTTTTTAAATATAAAAAAAATAACAGAGAAAGTAAAATATTCAAAGAAAATGTGATAAGTAAAAAAAAAAATTTTTTAAAACTGAACAAGGAACAGTACAGACAGGTTGAAGAGTCTTGGATAACTTAAAAGGTTAGATCATAAAACCACATACTTCATGAAGCACTACTCAATGCATCATTTGAAAATGGAAATCTAAAGCAGCATGCCGATCAAGACCTGGTGCTCCACAAAATGACAGACCAAAGCCCATACGGAAGAAAATGGCATACATGATTCAAATCCATACTTTAACATAAGCATGTGGAAGGTCTTCTGGCCAGAAGATACCAATTTAAAACTTGCTGACTTTATATTAGGACAAAGTAATGCTGTCCTCCCTCTTAATGCAGTATTAACAGTGATTCAGTAAAACAAACACTCAGGGGAGCTGGATAAAAAAAACAAGCTATACTTAACTGATATTTACTTGCAGATAAGTTAGAAAACCTTCTATTGCTTTTCTTCCACTTTACAACTATTCTCAACTTTGTTATGGTTTTTCCAATAAAACAAATAGAAGTTTCTTGTTGCAACAGGAGAGTTGCGGTCAATTTTGCAAGGCATTGCATTTGCAGGAAAGTAATAATAATATAAAGAAACTTTCATCTATCCATCAAATAACATTTTACAATCTGACCCTATGTCAGTATCAGCTGAGAGATTCAGTAAAGAAGAATATGAGCACTCTGCCAGCATGAGCCTAATTATCTCAGATAATTGTGTTTACACAGTTAATTGTAGCCTACTTATTTATAAACACTTGATTTAAACTGACCAGTGAGAGGTGCTGAGAAATTAGTAAGGCCTAACTACACTGAAGTTCAGAATCATTAAACTGAATGACTTTCGCTGCACAAAACTGTTTTAGAATTTAGCTTTAAAGATTTTCCGACTATATCAGCTTTAAACTGTGAAAAATAATTAGAAGACCAAAATGATTTTACTTTCAAATAACAGCATTTGTCAGTTTGCTAAATGCAGTTGCAAAGTGTAAAAATAATCCATGAAATACATAAATATAATGAGATTTATAAGAAATATCAAGGACTGCTCTACAGCAGGTCAGAGATCTGAAAATGGACATGTGAAAAGAGGCATAAAGCAGTAACAAGTTGCCGGCAGAGGAAAAGAAACATTTAAAATGTCAAAGATGAGATGAACTCAGACAACCAAGCAGAAATGGTCAGCTGGTGACATGCTGCATCCCAAAGCAAAAAAAAAAAAATCTGACAAAGAGACATAAAAAAATGAGGATGAAGTGCAAACAGAGGCTTTAACTTTCATTTAAAAAAAAATACTTAGAAAGGATGTCAAACTTTGAGGGGAATTAAATTTAAATGATTTCCTCTGAAACTATAAAATCCTGAAACCCCTGCAACAAACTAGAGCAGGAGGCAGAGGTGAGCACTATTTTTCCCCAACAAAATAAAACTACGCCAAAAAGTGAGCGAGACATTTCCTCACTTTTTATAACCATGTTTTATGCCTTCAAAATAACAAAAACAAAAACTATTTCTCTAAAAGTGCCCCAGCATGTAAACACTGTTTATAACATCCCCAGAATTTCAGTTTTTGGCTTTACTTTTTCATTTCCTGCAAAATGCTGTCCTGTGGCACTGTGGTGCCATCTTGCTTGCACTGCTCATTTGAGGTCTGCTCATTGATTTTCAATTATGTTTAGGTCAGGGTATTGTTCAGGCCAAGGCCAAACCTTCAGCCTCGGCTTCTTGAGGTTCTCCATTATGAACTTTGATATTTGGTTTAGGAGTTTCTCCATTTCTCTCTTCCACAAACTTTTGAGTGAAATACTATTTTTGTTTACATGTCGATTTGATAACTTTATGCTACTTAGAAAAAACAGTCCTCATACAAACTGGTGTAATTCTAAAGTTGCAGCAAGGACGGGTATAATTTAATCTAATACAGGCTCAAACTTTGTGCACAGCTCTCCTCTGCACAAAACATTCCAGTTACTTTAAATATGTTGCTGAAATTATAAGGCTGAGCAAGTTTTTACTCTCCTAATGTGAATCATTCATAGACATATCTACTTACTGAAAAGTTCACTGCTGAGTCAAGTTCTGCTTATTTTCTTGAAGGATTTTTTGCAATTTAGATGTGAATTTCAGTGTGCCTCAGTAGAAATCCATCAAAGAATTTCTCAAAATGTTTGTTTTCCCATAACCTTGGGTTGACCTTCATCAATCATGTTAACTCGTCTATTAAAATGAAAAAAAAAAAATGACTCTAAAACCATGTGTCAGCTATCTTTTCAGGCCCTTTTTTTCTGCTGAGGCTTTGCTTCGCTGTCCATGGTCCTGATTGCTGTTGATGGGAGTACAGGGGCGAGTAAACAGACTTGGATTTAAAATATCCATACATTAGTGTAAGAATTATATTATATTTATCTTATGGCCTGTGGTCTGTTTGATAACATACTTTTTTACTGTGAAATTAACCATCACCCATAAGTGTTAAAGGCAAACAAGGAATCAGTGAAGTGAACTTTTATGTTGTGTTGATACAAAGCAAACCAAAACAAAGTAAGCAGTTTCTGCCCTCTAGAGATAGTGTCTAGGATGAGTGTTTGACCTGCAATGTACACAACAGCTGTTGGAAAAGATGGGAAGGGAGAGCCCTCCCCTCCACCACCACTGGATACAAGCAATACAGAAACTTCTGAGAATCTCACTGCACGTTATTTGTTATTTGTACTCTAAAGAGACATGAAGCTGTGTGTAAAGTAGCCCCGGAGCGCTTGTCCATAGCTTTACTTTTAAACATTTCAGCAGTGTGGAAAAACAGGACACACTGTCGATTTGTGTAGCATAATAAGGTAAGCCTGTCAAAAAGTCAAACGGCTAAAAATAAATAAACAAATAAAAAAAACAACATAGAAACGCCTCGGCCTATTAATGGAAGTCCAACAAATATGCACACATGGTTAACTGCCTGCAACAAACTGAAAATGACTCTTTATGTGTTCTCAGCCCTCAGTGAGCTCACCCATCCATAAAAATCCCATCTCAAGGAGAGCAGAGGTGAGGTCTCTCTTTTTCTCTGCCTCTCTCCTCTTCTTCTTCTTCTTCTTTTTCCACTGTTCTCCCTCTTGCTTACAAATGTGTGCACAAAAGAGACCCTTCTTTTTTTGTATCATAACTACTCCCACAATTACTCAGACGATTACTCAGATCAATGGTTTGCCTGCCTGCATTCAGACTGCACCCCCCACACCCCCACCCTCCCATTGGTTGGCAGAAAAACCTCCAGGCTGAACACATTAAACAGAGTGTGTGACACAGGGGACAGGATAGTGTAATATCACGCAATAACATGAGGGAGAATAGCAAGACTGGCAAAACATATTGTCAGTCAGAGCTGTCACACATGAGGGGGTAACACAAAAGTCTATCAGCTATGTATCTGTTACAGACTACAACCCTGTTTCATAGATCTGCACAAGCGCTCCCCTGCCATTAAATCTCTCAGACATTCTCAGTTAAAGAGAGCAAAACAATGCGGTGCCGTGGAGCTCTTCCAGGGGCAGTTATCACTGGTGAAGCACAGAGCCTAACAAGGGGTTAGGGTGATTTCATGCTCTCTATTTAGAAATGACAATACATGAGCACACTTAATTACGCAGCCTCTAGTCAAGATCAACACAGTCGTCCAGCAGTGAAGGGGATGGTGTATTCATTAAGAATAAAGGGGGCTCCTTTCTGCTGAGGAACAATCGGCTTCACAGAGGGGGACAGCTTCTCATGTGGCAAAAGACAGAAGCCCAAAAAAAGATCAGGCGTATTTTCTAAAGAGAATGAAAAGAAAGTCATCCAATATGAAGTCAAGGCTTTGGCCTATATTTCTGACTGATTTGTTTTGGTAGTGACGAAATAAAACGCTTGTGTGCAGAACTGGGAGTGCAGTGAGGCGGTTCGCTCAGAAGCTGGTTTTTACAAGTAATAAAAATCCTCTGTGATGCTTTTTTTTTTCTTTTTTCCCCACGTTCTTGTTCTTTGCCCCTCGCTCTGCTGTTTTCCCACAGCACAAATGCAAGGAGACGAAGACAGAGACAAATATTCATTCAATTTAAATATCACAGAATATTAACTTTCAGGAAATGCATGAATATTTCACTCCCCTGCCACGTAACCTGGACAAAATTAGAATTTATGCAGCTATTTTCTCATTGATAAAAGAAGCTTTGAGAAAAGCGGACAAAAGGCAAAGACATAATTGATGGCTAAGAGCTCAAGCTTTGTCTCTGAGGGTCTGCTCAGGTCCTGATCCCGTGGCCTCAACCTGAAACAATCACTCTTAGTTAACGACAACACTTCAGCTATTGACAGCATGATCCTGTAAAGCAGACACTTCAATCAACAGAGCAGCCGCAGGAGGTGTTGTGTTGGAGGAGAAAAAAAAAAAAACAAGGAAGGGGGCATGGGAACAGATGAAATCAAGAAGTAAATAAATGAATTGATGGATGAATAATAGATTAGCCAGCTAGTGGCGACTTGCAGCGGGAATGCAGTATTAATAACTGACTCTTACTGTTCGTCTCTGTGTCATCACTGATACTCTTAGGTGGACCATGGCCAGCATAACACACTGCTGATCTGTACATTCGATCCGGATTACGAACTTTCTTCAGTCCTTAAGGAGGCAAAGAGAAAAGTAGAGAAAGATCGAGGAAAAGTATTCTCTCAGCCTGTGATATCTAAACACAATCCCCATGCAGCAATACACAGAAACAACACAGAATATAATAAGAAAACACACTAAAAACATTCAATAATGATGTGGAAAGAGGTTTAACAGAAACCTATATTTTACTGCAAGTATAACAACTATTAAAAAATAACTTAAGTATGTTTTTCTTTGAGTGCATTTACCCTTTAATTTAACAAATTTATATTATCTTTTGTTTCATTAGAATAAATATCATTTCACACAGAGGCTTACTTCTTTTAGGCAATAATAAAGAAAAGAAGCCACACAGATTGAAGAAGGTAAAGGAAGTTAAACAAATCGGCAAAGCTCACAGTAAGTGGAAGAACTGCAGCAGTGAATAACATCATATGGTCACCAAGACCTTGTCTATGTCAATTGGCTGTTTGAGAGGCATGTGAGGAAAAAGCCTTTTCTGCCTTGCCATCAAAGGTAAACAGTTTACGAAAATTACTGGGTCTCCCAGTGGATCTCTGTGTTTGCTCAGATGAGCTTAAAATCAAACCGTTCACAACGCTTACTTCAGGAAATTCAGCAATAAAATACAAAATAAAACTGTCAGAGAGGACCTTAGGCTAAATGTTGAGTAAAGTGGAGGATCTGTGCTGCTCTGGGCCTTTGTCATTTTAGACACACTGGAGATGCTTTTTAAGCTTTATGAACTTTGTACAAATATCAGGTCATTATAAATGAGATCTAGTGAGTTTTTGAGAAAAAATTTGCAAAAATGTTGAGACGGAAACAGCAATGGCAAAGGATCCCTCGCTGTAAGATCCCTTCTTTTAAAAGGTTATATTAGAAGATGAACCCTTGCTGATAAAGTATTGTCAACAAGGGTTCTAATAATTGTGGCATCAGATAGTTAAAAACAATAATTTCTTAACCTATGTGCAAAATTGTACTCAAATAAAAGGATGGATGCTTCGATATGTTTCATAACATTAAACTGAAGGAATAAAATTATTATTTAGAACAATATTTTTTTACTGTCCTAACAATTTTCAAAGAATTGTGTCTAACACCCAGGATCTGTTTGGCAAAACATAAAAACTATGGAAATCCTTATTTTATCACATTCTGTGTCACTAATTACTAAAACAGATATTCTGAATCCCTACAAGGTGAAAAAATTTATAACGAGGGTCAGTTTGGGCGTGACCCAATTTGATAAAGGTCTTATACGTGCAGGAATCAGGAGCAATGCGTATCAGCAACATCCAACAGACCTTCCTGGTCCAACTAAAAGGCAGAGCAGAAAACTGAGCACCTGATTCACTGAAACAACACAGAGCCAGGAGAGCAAGCAGCCCATTTGACATCACGAGGTTCAAAAATAAATGCCTCTTTTTACAAAACAGCAGAGATATGTTTATATAATTGCTGCAAAAGCATTTTTTTGCAGTTGAGAGCAAACTCTGTGCTTGCTTGATCTTTTGCTGGCGCTCCATACTGAATTCTGATCAAATCAAGAAACTTTTTCAAATCTAAAGATAAGAAAAGTAAGCCTAAGTTATAAATTGGCCACCTTAGTTGACTGTTTTGATCCGAACTTCAATAGACTGCTACTTCATCCCTCTATTAGATTTTTGTTTCCTATTTTGAAATAATTTAAGCATGAAACTTTTGGCATACAAAAATATTAAGACAGTATAAAGATCCAAAAGAACCTCAGGCTTGCCTATAAATCCCCTGTTTACACTCCCACTTATGACTCTTGCTCTAAAATATTTGTCGAAGGCTTTGTCCAGGCAGATGTTTAAGACCGCAGGCTGTAGTTTTCTCCAGAGCAGTTTCATTGTGAGGCATATCAAGCCTGTCCTTTTAGTGCCCTCCTAGCCCTGTGCTTAAAGTAACACACACACTAAGATTTTTAGGAGTGTGAAGGGGAGTAAAGATACCCCCAAGGGTGAGGCTGAGACTTTGAAGAAATACACCAGGATGTAAACATTACACCACAGAGTGAGTCCAGGTCATGGCCCCTCACTTGTTATGGAGCTTTTATGAGACCTGCCAAACAAGTGTGAGCCATCAGAACTGCCCTGATGCCACAAGGACAAAAGGTTAAAGAATTAGAAAGTCCTGCTTTTTCAATAGCTGCAAAAACAGGTTCACCCCTTATGTAAAAAATAAAATAAAAACATTATTAAAAACATAGGTTCTACATAAACAAAGAGCTAACTAAAAAAAAAGCCATCTGACAGCTTTATATGAAAGCTGAAGATCAAGTCTGCATGAGAAGACATGGCATTTACATAAAGGTGTGAAGTAATCTTTCTCTTATGCTCTCCGTCCTCCTCCTTCTTTTTTTCCACTGACCGGCCTCTCAGGAGCACTGAAAATAACTTGACCGGCTCAGCAATGGGACATTCAATCCTGGGTTTTCAGAGAAAAGCCCATTGCATTGAAGATGCTTTACTATGTTGGGTTTTTTTCAGCTATAACATGTATTTTCAGTTCATTTATGCTAAGGAATACATTTAGAAAACTACAATAGAGAATAGTCATTACTATCTCCAAACAGATGTCTTAATTTTTTTAGTCCAAGCCCCAGACTAAGTCCAAAGATATGAGAGCCTCCTTAGCTCAATAGCATCCCCTGGTGGGACTCCTTTTGGAGGTTGGCACACTGACATCCAAACCAACCAGAAACCACCAGTGTTTCATCACTACTTTTTATATGACCAGAAACAATTAAAAATGTATCTCCATTCTGTACTAAAAGAACATATCTTTCAAGTCACTGACACTAAAAGAGCTCTTGTCTTTTCATCTCTGAAAGACTAAAGGAAGCATTCAATATTTGGACCAAACAAAAGACTAAAGAATCTAAAATTATGCATCAAGTATTAAAAGTCTAGCATCTCCCTTTTGCTACACCCCCCAGGCTATGAAAATACCTAAACGCCAAAAAAGAAATATAATGAAGATGGTGTTTCAGTGCAACAACATTGCACTCATTAGCAAAAAGTTAATAATAACAAATATTTGCATGCAGTCATAAATCCTTTTTTAACAGCTGTAGATTTCATACACATTGACATTTTTCAGCACTATTTATTTGATGCAGGATTTAATTTAATTACTCACCCAAAAAATCCATGGGCCTTTCTGAATGGGCATAGATTTCTCATGCATATAAGTTGTGATGAAATATTCCACTTTATTTTTAATTTTTTTTTTAAAGAAAGAATTAAGCCTGATGCATTTGGTTCTCAGTGAGAGGAGCGACTGGAATCAGCTGAGAAAGGAGGCGAAAGTCATCATGCTGTCTGTCCTATGTGTAAAGTAATGTTATGGGCAGGCTGCTCTCCATCCTCCCTCTTCATCTGCTGGTGTGATGGCATTTCAGGCGCGACAGGACATCTTACAGAGCTACACTTGGTTCACATCGAATATAGGGCAAGAAAAGTATTGGAGAAAAAAAAACATTTAAAAATAGATCACTGCTCGCTGAATGGCATAGAAAATTCCTGCGCTTCAAGGGGGAACTGAAGGACCTTCTCTAACTTACATATTTAAAACCAGACGTACTTTAATTATTATTTCAGAGCAGCCGAAAGAAGCGCTTAGAAAATATGTAAACTAAAACAACACAAATAAAGGGAGAAGTTGGTCGATTAATGACGTGTTGTCATTAACTTAGCCTTGTTGGGAACAACTTGCACTGCGCCTCGGTTTGACAAGAATCCGGATCATAATAAGCAGTACACGCGGTACTTTTATCCACGCTGATAATGCGTTCCTGTGGCGTTTTTTTTTCTTTTTCTTTTTTCTTGTTCTTATTATGCTGGGAATAAAGCGACTGGCTCCAATGAGAGCTAATATTAGCTGGCTAGTGATGTCTCCACGTTTCAGCTGCCTCTGTGTGAAGAAAACAGCGGCGCCGTTCTCCGCCGGAGAAAATTCGCTCTCGCCCTCGCGCTCGTGACATCCCCACGCGGAGTTACGGCCGCTCTGTTCAAAAAAGATGGAGGGGAAAAAAAATCCCCCCCTTCCACCACACAACGGTCACACTGGTAAATTTAATCCCATTCTATTTCTTCTTACCTTCCGGCTTGTTTTCGGCAGCCATTTCCCCTTCACGCGCAACATCCTCCTCCTTCCTCACGACCGTGGGTACCACGCGCGTGCACGGCGAGGACAGCACGAGGAGGGACCGGGAGCGGCACGCGGCGAGTCGGTCCGACCGAGGCGAACTTACTATTGGCTGCGAGATGGTGAGTGACGGAGGTGGAGAAGGAAAAAAAACAACACATCGCTCCTCACTTTGGCACCTCCAGCTTCGATCTTTCTTTCTTTTTTTTTTCCTGACATTTTTCATGCATCTCAAAAAAGTAAGATGCTTGTTACTACAATGACGGTGAAACAAACAAATAAACACGTAACTGTTGTTTTTAGGCGTCCTATTAAGTTATAACTGCTCGGAATTCGTTTTATTTTGTGTTTTTGGCCGGATTGTTCTCCCAAAGTGACAATAAAGTTGGTAAACGTCATGATTGAATGGATTGATGTGGAATGTAAAGCTGTTAGAACAAACTACAGACAACATGGTTGATATTTCCAGTCATAGTTTTATCAGTTCAATTCAGTTTATTTATATAACGCCAATTTACACACACAGCTCATCACAAGGCACTTTTCCAGTTTACCAGATCATACAGTCAAATTGATTCAAAGTTTTCTATCTAAGGAAAACCAGTTGATTGCATGGACTGAATGCAATCCCTCACACTAAGCATGTTTGTAGCGACAGTGGAGAGGAAAAACTCCCTTTTAACAGGAAGAAACCTCCAGCAGAACCAGGCTCAGTGTGAGCAGCCATCTGCTGAGGCTGACTGGGGTTCAAGGAGACAGCAGCAGACATACAAAAAGCAGCTGTAAAAGGCGGCCCCGTCCAGGAAACACACAGCCAGTTAGAGGAGCCTGTTATCAGTTCCGTTTTATTCAGAAGTGTGAATAGGATTTGGTTAATTTGTGATTTAGGTAAATCAAAATATCTCTTGAAGATGCTCTTGAAACTGGTGATACAGTATCATAACATCATCTTCATAATAATAATTGAACTTTATTGATCTCACACTGGAGACATTTATCTATACATTTTGACCCATCCCCTTGGGGAGCAGTGGGCTGCCATTGTGCGGCGCCCCAGGAAGCAGTATGGAGATTAAGAGTCCTGCTCAGGGACTCACATTGCAGGCTGTCAAGATCGAACCGCGTCCTTGTTACTTTCATAGCGCGCACTGCTCTAACAACAAGGCCAACACTTCCCTCTATCAATGATTTCATATAGTATTAATATACTATGTATATTGAAAAAAGTTATCCATGAACAAAGGTTGAAACGCAGCTCATAGAAGTAGGGGTAGAGGTCAACAGTTCAAATGGAATTTTTAAAAAGTAGGGTCTTTATATGTAGGCAGGGACAACCAGAGAGGATAGACACCCATTTACACACAGTGTTGCCGTTAAGGTGGTGGTGCTGAAAGAACAGCTCCCCCACTGAGGCTTGTTACTTTCATAGCGCGCACTGCTCTAACAACAAGGCCAACACTTCCGATTTTATATAGTATTAATATACTATGTATATTGAAAAAAGTTATCCATGAACAAAGGTTGAAACGCAGCTCATAGAAGTAGGGGTAGAGGTCAACAGTTCAAATGGAATTTTTAAAAAGTAGGGTCTTTATATGTAGGCAGGGACAACCAGAGAGGATAGACACCCATTTACACACAGTGTTGCCGTTAAGGTGGTGGTGCTGAAAGAACAGCTCCCCCACTGAGGCTTGTTACTTTCATAGCGCGCACTGCTCTAACAACAAGGCCAACACTTCCGATTTTATATAGTATTAATATACTATGTATATTGAAAAAAGTTATCCATGAACAAAGGTTGAAACGCAGCTCATAGAAGTAGGGGTAGAGGTCAACAGTTCAAATGGAATTTTTAAAAAGTAGGGTCTTTATATGTAGGCAGGGACAACCAGAGAGGATAGACACCCATTTACACACAGTGTTGCCGTTAAGGTGGTGGTGCTGAAAGAACAGCTCCCCCACTGAGGCTTGTTACTTTCATAGCGCGCACTGCTCTAACAACAAGGCCAACACTCCCCTCTATCATTGATTTTATATAGTATTAATATACTATGTATATTGAAAAAAGTTATCCATGAACAAAGGTTGAAACGCAGCTCATATGGGAAGAGGTCAACAGTTCAAATGGATTTTTTTTTAAAGTCGGGTCTTTATATGTAGGCAGGGACAACCAGAGAGGATAGACACCCATTTACACACAGTGTTGCCGTTAAGGTGGTGGTGCTGAAAGAACAGCTCCCCCACTGCCCGCAGTTTATGTCATTCCAGGAAAAGACAGCTCTTTACATCAGTAAATATATGTAAAAATACACCGTATAGAGGATTTTGCAGACAGAAATATATAGTGAGCTGTATTTTTTTATTTTTTTTTGCGTGGTCTGTTATATAAAATACATGCATTAAATTTAAAATTAAAAACATACATGTATTTTTTCCTTCTTTATTTTTTTCTTGTGTGAAAAAACATAGGAGAATTTAAAACTTTTCTTAAGAATCCTGTAGGTTTTAACGAATGACTGATATTTGAAAAAAAGTTTATGCATAACTCTATGTGGGTTTCTTTTCTTCTTTTTTTTCTTCTTCTTTTTCTTGTATTTATGCTCGTGCTTAACACACGGGGGCGACAGAGAGCGTGAGAGAGCCTTTTTCCGCGTATGGAAACACACGAAGTAGAAATGACCGGGGGTAAACATGGCGTCTGCCTTGGACGATGATGAGATCTGCAATGATGATTTCTATTCCCTTCTTAATGTCCGCAGAGAGGTACGTGGTAAACTTACCAAGTCGATAATCATTTATACGGATGTATGCTTGGGGAACTCTTCATTTCTACTGCTGATAGTTAGCGGCGGCTTAATGGTTGAACTGTATCTGAACAGGTAGCTAGCTTATGACCCACGACATTGATTAAAGTGCAGTGACACCCAAGTTGGAAACCGAGTAAGACATTCCGTTGGTTGTTAGGTTAAAGTTTTGCTAGCGTAATTCTTGTTTTCCGTGTATAAGGTTGAATAGTTTTGTGTCGTTATATTATAGTGAAGCTAGCTGAAAAGCATGTCATCATGGAATGTGCTAACTTGCTAGTGCTACCAATGAAACTGTGAGCTCCAACATGAAGTTCAAGAGCCCTCATGGTACATATGAAAGTTTATCTTTGATTCGAAAGAGCGTTTATTCATGTTTCTCTAGTTATTTTTTTCTGACTAACTTGAATGTTATTCCATGTGGTTATGACATATGGTCACCGTGGTCTTTATGGTTAAAGATGGACTCATTGATGAAGCCATTCTTTAATTATTAGCTGATTTGTTTATTTTCATACAGGGCAGCATTAGGAGGTTCATTTTAAGTCGGTGGTTAACTAAAGCAGATTTAAAACTAAATGCCAACTGCACTGAAATCTCTATTTTTAAAAACTAAAACATGATTCATTAAAATAAATATAAATTATTGACCTCTGATTAAATATTGACCTCTGATCCACACAATAAGGGAAGATTTTATGTAATGCTCCAGTTGTCTAAAGCAGTAATTTGGGAGGGAAAAAGATTGATATTTAGATAAAAGTGCTGCTGTGTTGTGATGGAGAAAATGAAATGTTCATGTATTAGACTTACTTGAAAACTTTTAACACTGCCAACACATTTTATGCCAGAAGTCTTATTTTTTATTTTTTTATTTTTTTGCTGTGGTTTGTATATAAATATAATAGGTTGCTTAAGCAATGATGTGTGTGATACCAACCAGTCAAGGCATGTTTGTTATCTGGCAGGAAAAAAAACGATCAGCATTTTCCCAGCCTAGGGCTCCACTTTTCTTTGGCATCTGACCAACCAAATTCAGTTATCAGTTTTGATATTTATGTATTTTGTTGTGACTTTAAATAAGAATAGCAGGAAACGTTGACAACTCTATATTGAGAGTTTTGATTAAGTACAACCTTCATTTAATTGAATTGCATTCTTTTTAAATCAGATGATAGTCTCCATAATAGTCAGTTGACTATAAATTCTGTGGAATCACCAAATATGAAGCAGAACCTCATGGAAAAGGATGCTCAAAGGCCTTTATTTTAAGTCTTTACAAAAACATTCTGAAAATTGGTCTTAGTAACTAGAGAAGAAAAGAAACAATGCATTTTGTTGATTGATGCAATTCGCTACATACGAGTGTCAAAGAAATGTAAACCATGAACGTGTAAAATTAGTTCTTTCTTTATTTTTTGCACTTACATTTTTTATTTTTTTATTTTTTGGTCTGCTTCAGGCAACCCAGGAGGAGCTGAAAGCAGCATACCGGCGCTTGTGCATGCTGTATCATCCAGACAAACATCGCGATCCTGAGCTAAAGAGACAGGCCGAAACGCTTTTTAACCTTGTACATGAAGCTTATGAAGGTAGGTCAACCTTCATTCATCTTTTACCGCAGCTCAGCTAAACAGAAAACAGTGAAGTCAACCTCCTAACACTCAGTAATGTTGATGAGTTCTCTGTTGTTGAAATCTGTATCCTTCTGTTTTTAGTACTTAGTGACCCACAAGCACGAGCAATCTATGATATCTATGGGAAGCGAGGGCTCGATGTCGAAGGATGGGAGGTGAGTATAATGAATATTGTGGAGGCAGAAAAGGCCAAGAAACTAATCTGAAAGCAACGTATGTTTTGTTCACAATGCATGCAGGAGAAGCCCTATGAGAAAATTGACAACTATTTTAAAATCCTCATACATATTTTAAAAATGCTGCATGTTAAATGTCACGTATATTGGTTGCCACATGTAGACTTTTCCAAATTCCACACAACAAAAACTGTGGATTCCTGCTTGGAGCTTCCATCTAAAATGCAATTAAAGCTTTTTACACAAGAAGAACTCATCTTCAGCCATAGTTTAATAACACTGCCGAATGTATTTTCACTTTAATTAAACTGCCTACAGAAGTAAGTTTGCATTGCAAACAAGGATAACTACCTTTTGGCAAAATCAAGACTGTGTAATTATTGAAAGGGTTTTGGTATGTGCTTTCTATTTCCAGTGTTTTACCTCTCTACATTTTTATGGTTATTAATAACGCTTACAAAGATGGTATAGTGGGAAAGTAAACATTATATTGCTTGGTGATTTTTACATTATTTTATTTTAACAAATAATTATTGTTTGCACTCACTTTGTATTCCACTCCTGTTCTCTTCCTGCAGGTGGTGGAGAGGAAAAGAAGCCCTGCCGAGATTCGGGAGGAGTATGAGCGCCTTCAGAGGGAGCGAGAGGACAGACGGCTTCAGCAACGGACCAATCCAAAGGTACCTTAGTATAGTATAAGATGATGAGCCTGCCTTTAAGTGTTGTACCGTATTTTCACGACCATAAGGCGCACCGGACTAAAAGGCGCACTCTCAGTTATGTGTCACATTTCTGTATTTAACACACACATAAGGCGCACCGGACTATAGGGCGCGTTTTTTATATACAGGTACATGTCCTCTACTACCTTTAAATAGCTCTACTGCGTATTTAAAAATACAGCGGGGGCAAAACTGAGTATGACTGTGCTTTATTCATGTATTTATTACAAAGTATTAATCAAACCTGGCAGCTGGCCGTGAGACAGACCCATCGCAGATGACACAGCGCTGTGATCACTCCTAAATTAACTTAAAATCCTGAAACCTGCTGACGGAATATGTTCGCTTTTATTGCCAGTATCCTGGTGCCTGCAGCTAAAATTATTTAGATGAAAAACATCTGCCAGCAGCCGCGGTGAACCCCAGGCTGCCCAGCCTACAGGCTGCTGATGAAGAGATTTCTGCTGTCAGCGCACCGCTGGTATGTGGGGGTCTGAGCGCCTCCGACAGAAATAGATAATCTGGATGAACTGACTGCAATTATTAAGTTTTCAGGTGGACTTTCTCACTTAAAAACATATTAAAACTACTTTATTCCCACTGATCACAGCAAATATAGCTGCAAGATTTAGATTATTTAGATGAAAAACACCTGCCAGCCACCGCGGTGAACGAAAGGATTTCTCCTCTCAGCGCACCGCTGGTATGTGGGGGTCTGAGCGCCTCCGACAGAAATAGATAATCTGGATGAACTGACTGCAATTATTAAGTTTTCAGGTGGCCTTTCTCACTTAAAAACATATTAAAACTACTTTATTCCCACTGATCACAGCAAATATAGCTGCAAGATTTAGATTATTTAGATGAAAAAACACCTGCCAGCCGCCGCGCTGAAGAGGAGGAGGAGACGCGCCCGCGGCTGTTGAATTAAGTTTTCAGGGAGAAAAATAGAGCGGGAGCAAAACTGAGTATGATTGTGCTTTATTCATGTATTTATTACAAAGTATTAATCAAACCCATCAAAGTCATCATCCTCTGTTTCTGAATTAAACAGCTGCGCTAAATCAGACATGCCAATTTCCCCTTCTGCGCTGTCAGTCACTTTCCGTACAGCGCGGCTCCTCAGAAATAATGCCGGCTTTTGCGAAAGCTTGAACAACAGAGCCAGCAGACACTTTAGTCCAAGCATCTACAATCCATCCTCAAACTGTGGCGTAACTTGCACGGCGCTGCCTTCTTATCCTGAAACTGTGGTCTCCGTCGGTCATCCATCGCTCCCACGCCGCTCGCAGCCTTACTTCGAACGGCCGCTTCACACTGATGTTGAGCGGTTGAAGTTCCTTTGTCAGACCCCCGGGATAACGGCGAGCACAGCGTTCATTTGATTCATCTTTTTTTCACATCGGCTGTGAGATGGGCACGCAGCGATGGTGATGCGTGGAAAAAACCACCTAGTCTTCTCAGATACACCTGCCTTTCATCATCTCCTCATCGATCCAGCCTTTTCATTTGCGTTAATATCATATGTCATCAGAGCGCTGTACTGTCTCGCTGTCAGCTCCCAGATCAGCTTCTCTGATTGGTTGATGCGGCGCGTCCAGCAGCAAAACTTAAATTTTTCCATGTCGAGCAGCAGCAGCGCGTTGGCGGTGCGTCAGATGCTTAAACGCTCCCGACGTGCTGCAGTAAAACGCGCTGCAGGACCTTTTGCTGCACCTATATGCGCGTCAACCATTGACTTTGCATGTAAACTCGCTGCTTCTGCTGCACCTGCTGGGTCCGGTTCACACCGATGTCGAGCGGTTGAACAGCGAGCACAGCGTTAATTTGTTTCCCCATGTTTTTCACATCAGCTGTGAGATGGGCACGCATGGAGTTACATATTAACAGCGATGGTGAGGGGTGGAAAAAAAAACACCTGGTCTCCTTACATTCAGCCACTCTTTCATCATCTCCTCAATGAGGTGGTCTCAAAAGTCGCAGTTACAACACACATAGGGCGCACCGCACCATAGGGCGCACCGCACATTTTGAGGAAAAAAAAAGACGTTTAAGTGCGCCTTATAGTCGTGAAAATACGGTAAGTACTTCTGTGTGCAGCGTCAATCTATGATCACTTTCCAGGGAACGATAAGTGTGGGCATTGATGCCACAGACCTCTTTGACCGGTATGAAGAGGACTTTGAGGATATGGTTGGAGGCATCCCACATGTAGAGATCAACAGGATGCAAATATCACAGTCTATAGAGGTACACGATTGACCTATTATTGCCTGACTTTGTCTGTCAGAAAGGGGAATGATTGAGTTCATGTTCTGTGCGATCCTTTGTAGGCTCCACTCACTACAAAGGACACAGCTATTTTATCTGGCTCTTTGTCCACCCACAATGGGAACGGAGGCGGCACCATTAACTTGGCTTTAAGAAGAGTCACCTCAGCTAAAGGGTGGGGTGAGGTAGGAATCATCCTCTCTGTTTCCTGCTCTGTTTTTCACTAAACAGTTTTCTGCCTCTGATGTGTTGACATGTCTAGATGCTGAGTCCATTTTGCTGTCTTTGTTTACACAGGTAGAGTTGGGAGCCGGAGACACTCATGGACCCCTCTTTGGAATGAAGATATTTCGCAACTTAACACCTCGATGGTATCTTTAGTTATATAAAAACTTGAAATTCGTGGTTTATTTTTAATGGCAGCAAGTGGAAAGATATTTTATGTTTTTTTTTTTTCCCCTCAGTTTTGTAACAGCTCAGTGTGGGCTGCAGTTTTCTTCACGAGGTGTTCGGCCTGGGGTGACCACGGTGCTCGCTCGCCACCTCGACAAGAACACAATGGGCTATCTGCAGTGGCGCTGGGGAGTTAACTCCTCTATGAACACCAGCATAGTGAGGGACACAAAGAGCAGCCATTTTACCCTCGCAGTCCAGGTTATTAAACGTTTGATTAACCTTTTATTACTGTTGATCTAAAAAGTCTTTCCACCCTTGTAGAAATTCTCCCTTTGTTATATTTAGGGATTGATTATGTTAGAAGATTTACAATCATTGAAGTGACTTTGCAACTCATTTAGAGCAACATCCTGGTTGCATAAGCATGCATACCCTTTATTTTGGTTAAGTAGCTTTTGATTTCATTGCAGAACTTTTTTTTTTTTAGGTGCATTGGAGTCTACCAACATGACACATGTTGACTTTTCAATAAGAACAAGAAGATAACTTAAAAACCAGAATATGAAAGCATATTGGTTATCCACACTGGGAAAACGGCTAATATTTCGGTCTTGGATTATTATTATTATTTTTTTAAGCAGTTTTGCTGATCTGGCTACAATTTTCTTGATCTGCTGTGTGTTTGGTCCCATTTTCCCATCATGTCCACATAGCCCCCCAGTGAAGCCTAATGGGTAGATAGAGGTGACAAAAATATGGCCCCAGACTGTGTGATGGAACAGACAGTAAACTGGTTTTGGAGGTTTGAATAAGGCTTTATTGAGGCCCCACTTTCCACCTTAAGAGAAACTGTTTTTAAAGCATAATACCACCACTACCATGCTTAACCATTGATGGGGGTTTTTTGGGAGGGTGGGGGGATTACAAGAGCTGTAATATCTTTCAGCATTACATACATTCAGCTATCTGCAGCAGAATGTAATACCTTGTTCTAGACGCTTTTTGGAAAGGCTAAGCGTGTGGTTGCTAAATTAATTTCCCCCTGTATGTTTATCTGTTTTGATTGGGTTTCCATCCTGCCACCCTACCCTGTAGCAGCAATAAATAAAGATAGCAATAGATTGTTGTCAATTGTGTTGTACAGCAGTTCTATATGCCAGAATTTCCGGTAGCTCCTTAAATTTTATTTTGAGTATCTTGGCAGCCAGTTTTCTTCTCGTCCTTGTCTCTAGTTCTCAGAATCATTACCCTTTTGCTGTTTTTCTTCTTCCCTTTTGTTTGTCTGTCTCCTCTGTGTTTCATGGTATGTTCATGGGCTTTGGCAAACCAGTGTCCAGACTGATGACATTGGGATATCTGTGATGCTTTGGAAGCTCCTGTCACTTGATTTGGCAATAGTGGAAGACACTTTAAATGATGGATTGTGTTTGCTGACTCCTATTTAACCGGAAGTTTAATACTATGCATCAGCATTGTTTCAGATATGTCCTTCAGATAGGTTTTTATTTGTATGAGTAATACTGAAATGTATAAATATATAATACTGAAATATATAAATATTTAAAATTTATGTATTTTTATTTTGCTTTTTTTTTTTTTTTATCATAACAACCAGTTTTTAGAGCTTTTATTTCCACTCTATTCCTCCTTTATCCACAATTTCCTGTCAAAGTTGTGCTAAAATGAAAATCTTCTCATTTCTTTTCCTCAGCTTGGCATTCCTCACACCTTTATGATGATGAGCTACCAGTACAAGTTTCAGGATGAAGACCAGACAAAGATTAAAGGCTCAGTAAAGTATGTTGTCAGAACTCACTACAGGGGATTTAATGCAGCTGTGAAATCATGTGAAAGATGGGAAAAGATGGAAAACTGACACTGAAGTTAACTTTGTGGTGTTATGGTTGTGTGTACCTTCTTGTAACATCTTTCCAGCTGAATTGTGTGACTGCAGAACCTATAAGGTTAAGATTAATATGTTAATAGCATACGTTCCAGTTACCCACTACAATAGAAAGAATGTGGTTGCTCCTTTCAGCAGTTGGTTATGTTCTGCTGTGATGATACAAAAAGGTCACTATTTAATGCAACAGAAAACTGTAGAAGTCACCCTCCCACAAAGAGGAGCTTTATAAGGCCGCTTTAACAGCTTAGAAATTAAACCTTTTTAATCAAAGGTAAGTTAACAAGTCACATGACAATTAAATGTTTTTTTAAAGTCTGAAAAAATAAAATTAATATGAAAATACGGATCTATCTGTATTCCTGCTTCTTTTATGTTGGCTTTAACTTTTCAGAAATAAGGCAACACAGCGAACAAGTTTTCAAATAAACTGCTCAATTTCAGACCACTAGGTGGCGCTCAGGGAAGCTTATTTGTTTGTTCAGTGACTATTGGGATTATTATATCCTTCTCGATGCACATATTTTACTGTCATGAGACTCCATATGTCAAGGGTAAGTGTGAAAATATGTCAAACATTGGCTTGCTGTTTATCTACCTCTTGCTCCTCACTATCAGCATATCACCAGAGGCCTGAAACTTTTGTACACTGCTGATTAAAAACGAGCAGATTAGGGTTCTTCTTTCTGCCATCATTGCAAACCAAGCTTGAATTCCTGTTATTCTTTTTAAATTCTAAACAAAAACATATTCATACTTTTATTTTCTTTCCTGTCCTGGTTAGCACACTGTGTATTAAAATGTGGGCAAGAGATACTCACCCTGAGCAACAACAGCCTTATATATAAACACAATTTTCTAAAATATATAATTCTGTATGTATAAGTTTTACTGAGATGTTAATTGCAAATAAGGTCTAATTTGTTGAGAGGGTAAACCTGACTGTTTGGAAATAAGTTGCTGTTTCTATGTTTGATAAGAGGCTGTTTTAATGCAGAGGAGCTACCAATGCATAGTGCTGATATGTGACTTTATTTTCTGTCTTTGTTGGCAACTCTGTAATGTGACAGATCAGGTTTCTTTGGGACTGTGGTGGAGTACGGCGCTGAGAGGAAGATCAGTCGACACAGTGTGGTCGGGGCCACCGTCAGCGTCGGGGTGCCGCAGGGTGTCTCCCTCAAGATCAAGTCAGTGATGAACCCTGTTCTACTTCTATTACCACAGATCTTTTTTACTTTTCTTATTTATTTTTCCACCGTGCCATTACCATGACACTTTAAGGAGTAAAGGCAAAATTCTGTTAATATGTAAAAACATCTGTTTGTCTGTATGTGTATAAGTTACCTATTTAGGACCTTTCTGAGTATATTTACTAACCTTCTGAGGACATTTCGGGACCAAAGGCTGGTCCTGATGTGTTTGACCCTGATTTTTAATGTTAAAAAGTCAGTTTAAAGGTATCATTTGGATTAAGTTTACGTGAGGACTGTTCCCACTGATGGGTGTATTGATTGTGATTATACTGTAAGGCATGGGTGTCAAACTGGTGCCAAGCAATAGCACACCAGACTCCATTCATCTCATCAAGTCATCATGTTAAGACTGGACTCACTTGATAAGATGACTGGAGTCTGGTCTGCTATTGCTTGGTTGGAAAGAAAACCTGCAGCCACGCGGCCCTTTCTGGAACCAGTTTCACATCCCTGCTGTAAGGGAAATAAGTATTTGAACACCCTGCTATTTTGCAAGTTCCCCCATTTAGAAATAATGGAGGCGTCTGAAATTGTCATCATAAGTCCATGCCTACTGTGAAAGACGTAGTCTTAAAAAAATAAAAACTAAATCACAATGTATGATGGTTAACAATTTGTATGATACAGCTGTAAATAAGTATTTGAACATTTGAGAAAATCGATGTTAATATTTGATACAGTACAGTAAATGTTTGCAATTACAGACGTTTGCTGTAGTTTTTCACCAGGTTTGCACACACTGCAGAAGGGATTTGGCCCACTCCTCCACACAGATCTTCTCTAGATCATTCAAGTTTCTGGGCTGTTACTGAAAAAAAAAACCCAGAGTTTGAGCTCCCTCCAAACATTCTCTATTGGGTTTAGGTCTGGCGACTCGCTAGGCCACACCAGAACCTTGATATGATTCTTCCAGAGCCACTCCTTGGTTATCTTGGCTGCATGCTTTGGGTCATTGTTATGTTGGAAGCCTCAACCCTTCTTCTATGCTCTGAGGGAAGCAGGTTGTTCCTCAAAATCTCACAATACATGGCCCTGGTCATCCTCTCCATAATACAGTGCAGTCGCCCTGTCCCATGTGCAGAAAAACGGTAACCTTGGAAACGGTGGTCCCAGCTCTTTTCAGGTCATTGACCAGCTCCTCCCATGTGGTTCTGGGCAGAATTCTCACTTTTGTTAGGATCATTGAGACCCCACAAGGTGAGGTCTTGCATTGAGCCCTAGTCCGAGGGAGATTTACAGTCATGTTGAGCTTCTTTGATTTTCTAATGATTGCTCCGACAGTAGACCTTTTTTCACCAAGCTGCTTGGCAATTTACCCGTAGCCCTTTCCAGCCTAGTGGAGGTGTACAATTTTGTCTCTAGTGTTTTTTGACAGCTCTTTGTTCTAGGCCATGTTAGTAGTTGGATTCTTACTGATTGTATGGGGGGAACAGGTGTCTTTATGCAGCTCACGACCTGAAACTGGTGCATCTAATTTAGGATAATAAATGGAGTAGGATGGACATTTTGAAGGCAGACTAACAGGTCTTTGAGGGTCAGAATTCTAGATGATAGACAGGTGTTCAAATACATATTTGCAGCTGTAACATACAAATGTTTGTGATTTCTGGATTTTTTCTTTTTCAGACCCCTCCATGATTTCTAAGTGGGAGAACTTGCAAAGTAGAAGGGTTTTCAAATACTTGTTTTCCTCACTCTATCTGATTATTACTAAATTATTTGATCCTAAGAATGTTTATTTGTATATGACCTTCCAACAGTGAAAAATTGTTTAAAATCGTTGTTACAGGGTTGATATTTCATTTCCTTCCTCCCTCTTTCTGTAGCTTTTTACAGTCTTCAATGTAAAATATGAAAGAATTCTCTGTCTACAGACTAAACAGAGCCAGCCAGACGTATTTCTTCCCTATTCACCTCACTGACCAACTGCTGCCAAGTGCGGTGTTCTACGCCACAGTTGGACCTCTGGTTTTCTACCTCGCCATGCAGCAGCTTATCATTCGACCCTACATGCGGGCCCAAAAGGAGCAGTAAGAAACCTTCTTCTTTGTCTCGGATGCTTCATACAAGCAATCTTGTTGGAAAGGTCTCTCTTTCATTATTATGGATGGATTTTATGACCTAATTTTATTTCTTCATCATTCTTTTTTTTTTTTTTTTATTCAGGGAGTTGGAGAAGCAGAGAGAGAGCTCAGCCTCTAATATAGCCAAGAAGAAACAGGAAGCAGAGGCTGCTGTGAGTGCTTGACAGATTTATAGGTGGTTGTGGTGCCAGCCCAACGTTATACTTGAGCTGGCCCCCCGAGCATGATGTTACAAACTCATGGGCTTTGAGATTAGAGATGTCTATAAATGTGTCTGACTGTTGTGAAATATTTTGCCTATCAAACAGTAGGCTGAAAGGCTGAGATTGAACTAGATAACATCCAAATGAAAAATAATGGAATTTATTGGCTGCATCCATACATTTGGAAAAATATGTGTCTGACTTGTTTTTCTCTACCTCTGAAGGTTTTGCTCATGCAGGAGTCTGTCCGCAGGATCATTGAAGCAGAGGAGTCTAGAATGGGTGAGAAAAGTTGGATTTAAGCAGGGATTTAGGCCTTTGAATTTGATTTAAAGACGATTTTTATATTGACTCTATTTGTGAAGTTAAGTTTGATTTTTCTTGGTATGATTTTTTTTTTTTTTTTTTTTACTGGCTCTTTGTTTCAGAACATTTCTTACATTTAGTGGTGCTGTTATTCAGACCTATGGCACTCATACTGTATCATCCTCAGGCTGAACAGGTTGACCAAAAATCGAAATTATGATTATTTTTTTTACCAAAATTGCGATTTTATTTAATTTTCCTTTGCACCAACCCCTAGCTTTTAGATCTTTTACCCCAGGCTTTCAGTTTTTGAAAGCTTGCTTACCCAGAGTCCATTGTTGCAAAGCTTTAACATAATCTTTGGGTGAAAGGGTATTTAATTGAGCTTGCATGCATTGATCTACATGCTAGCTGCAACTCTCTCTACCTCTCTGTGTCATGAAAAAAACCCACTTCAAGTGTTTTACCACAGCTTGAAGGTCTGGATTGAGAAATTAAGTGTCTTACTGTTGTTAAATTGTGTAATTAAAAATTTGTGCCTCTGCAATTTGAAAATTGCGATTATATTGCAAATGCATTTAATCTCCCAGCCCTTATCTGCCTCGTCTGTTCCTGTTTGGCTGTGACGCCGTCCTGGAGAGAAATATCAGCTGTGCTGCTTCCATCAACAACTTTGTTTATAGATGTTGAAGATCGGCCTGTTTTCCAGTGTAGTCCTGTTTACACATTTTAGTATAACTTCTCAGCTTTTAGTTCTTTTTCCTGTACAGGGATAAAAGGCGTTTCTACATTTACGTAAACAATAATTAACTTATGTCCAGTCTTTCTTGTTCCACTTGGTAGTTTAAACTAACATGGTTTGTGTGTCATCCAGCTTTATCATCAGTTGTTTTTGATGATTGTCCTAAAATCTATTGCTTCTCTGAGATGGAGTGAGTGAGACATGAATGACTGGAGAGACAGCTGTTTAATGTTTAGTTAGTCTCAACTTCTAAATAATGAAGAGATGAAGTGTAGGATATTGCCCTAACATGTTTAAAAACTTTACTGAACTGTATGTAAATAACAAAAATAAATAAAACTGCAATGAGATCCCAGTAACGGTTCTTGCTGTTCTGGGATCCTTTATCTCAGAATGTTGTTAGTTAATTTTGTTTGCTAATTGTTCTCTAGAAAGCATCATGTAATATCTGTTTTAATGTCACTGCCTATTCTTTAATCAGGTCTCATCATCCTCAACGCTTGGTACGGCAAATTTGTGACTGACAATAGCAGAAAGCATGAGAGGGCGAAGGTCATCGATGTGACCGTGCCACTTCAGTGTCTGGTGAAAGACTCCAAACTCATTCTCACTGAGGCTGCAAAGGTAAGAACTGTGTTCCAAAGCAGGGGCCAGAAGTCTGTGCTGCAAATTAGGTTCAACAGCTTCTGTTTTTCAGTGTTTACTGGTGCAGCTGATGGTGCATTGCTTTAATTTGTCCTTCCAGTCAGGGCTCCCTGGCTTCTACGACCCCTGTGTGGGAGAAGAGAAAAGCCTGAAGGTGCTGTATCAGTTCCGCGGAGTCATGCATCAAGTCCTGTCAGGAGACACGGAACCACTCAGGATACCAAAGCAATGTAAGTTTGCTGGATCGTGCAACATCTGGCAAAAACGTTTATAACCACTGAACTTCATGAACAACTGCAAGCTTCAATATATTTTTATCTGATAGACCATCACATGGCAACGCATAAACAAGGAATGAAAGAAAGTATATTTTAAAAATGTTTAATAGATATAAATCTAAGATGTTTGTCTCACATTAAAGGATTTTTTTTATCTACTTTCTTCTTCTTCCACATCTTTACACTTAATTTCTTTTAAGAATTTGCACCGATTCTCAGTTGGACTTCGGCTTGACTTTGACTGGGCAATTCTAATATTACTGTGCTGTGATCAAAACCATTCCCCAATCGTTTTTTGGCTGAAGGATTCTTTATGCTTGCCGCACGTACAATCTGCACAGAAAACAAGCTGCCTGTCACCATTTCTGCATCATTTATACTCTGTGTGGCTTTTTCCCCATTCCGGCTGACTCCACAGGGAGAGCTGACAACACATTTTTTTTCCCCAAGAGATTTTACACAATCTGTTGACAGTGGTGATATTTAATGGCTAAATCTCAGGATCTCTAGATGTTTACATATGGGTTGTGGGAGCCAAAACGTACTACTTTTTGCCGCAAAGACGCATTAAGCGTAAACCAAGCTTAACAGGTTTTCAATTGGGGTTAACAGTGAATTTTGCCACATCTGTTTTTTTATCACGACTGACCACCTCAGAATACATCCTACCAGCCTGATGGTGCCACCGCTACTGTGTTATGAGAGAAATATGCTTAGGGTGTGTGAAGTCTGTTAGAAATTGGAGACTGAGACACAGCAGACTGCCAAGAACAAAGCTTCCTTTTAATTTAAACACTTGCAAATGTAGAGTTCACAGAATCTTTCAGTGTGCTCTGACTTGAATGGTTCATTCCCCCTCTACATATAGATCATGCGTAGAAGAGGTTACAAAACATTAACAGAAACTCTTTTTGATCTCAACAGAGCAAAGAATCCTCTTCAACGTGTTTGCTGTTTCCTTAAGCCAAGCATTTCTACTTTTCAAATAGAGAAAAGCTGAAAGCTTTAGATATTTCTACTCAACTTTTTTTCTGTCATGAGCCTGTTGTTAATTTTCTCTTCTTGTTTTACAGCTCACAGGATTGATACAGACACATAGGAGTGCTTGTTCTGACCAAAAAAGGACTCAACTCTAGACTGTTGGACAGAAGATGGAGAGACCTATGTTTTAGATTCGACTTTGAAATCAATCTTTGTTACAGAGAAATTATTAATTTACCTGTTTGTTTTTTTTGTTTTCAAACCAGGATGCATAGACAGAGTCTTGGCCTGCTAATGTGACAAAAATCAGCTGCTGTCATCTTAAATCTGGGATCTGCTCTCTGCATCAGTTTGTTTTTGGGAAAGGCTGGTAATTTTAGACAGAGTTCTATGTACTGTATTAAACATAAACTGCAGTGCCTGTTGGATTGAGGACATGAAAGTATCTCTGTTTATTTGCCATATTAAAATCTCTCCCTCTCATTTTGTTTACACTAAAGTCTTTTTTTTATGTAATGTTTGTGGTTTGGATATTTCATTTGCAGAAACTGAAGTCTAGATTCCTATTACTGAGACCAAAGGTTTTAGTCAGAGTTTTGGACCCACACCTCTTGTGTAACTTCCTTGTGTAACTAGCCACTCGTGATTCTCAAAGCGAAAATTTATGTTTTACAGTTGAATCAACAGCCATATGGTTTGCAACAAATGGACAGTTGCTTATTCAATGTATGTCTTAGAAAGTATCATGAAAAACACTTGTAAGCAGAGGGGGAAAAAAAGAAGCAATGTTGCACCAAAACCAGCAGATGAGACAGCTCACCAAACCATCAGGGATTTTTTAATTCGAACCTTCACACTGGACCTCAGGAAACTCTGTGCCTCTCAGCTTACCCAGATTCAAGAAACCTAATTTTCAAACAAAATTGTACTTTCTTTACATAAATTAGACTAAACCACTACACAACAATCTAATGTACTCTTTAGGTTATACAAGATGCTGCTAAGTTACCTACCATTTAAGTGTGGTTTAACACAAGGAAAGCAACAGTTGCAAGCTGTGTTTATGCGGTCGCTCTGCTGGAACTCTTGAACCCTGTGAACTTCCCCCCCAAACACAGACTCGTCTAAAGGACTGTTCATCCATGTTACTAGTCCATTCTTTTCAGTTTTGCATTCACTTAATTTCAGTAAATGATTCTGTGAAAGAGTTTATTTTTCAGGATATCCTCCATAGCCTTCATGAACTACCTCCCATGTATTTTATTTCTGTTCATTGTAATATTTAATATATCAGTTACAATTAGGTTTTTTTGTTTAGTCATCATACACGTCTATCAGATAATTATTGAGATGAGACGGGCGGGGGATGCCCGAATGAGGTATTCATTATCCGTTTTTCCTTATCGGCACAAGTTCAGTCAGAAATTTCTCACAACCTTTAATTTATATATAATCTGTTTTGAGGTTAACTGGATAAGTTTAAAAAAAAACGCAAGAAAATATCAAAATAACCCAGTTTTTCTATAGACATCTCTAATGTCTGCAAGTATTACATTATACTATAATACTAAATGTTATAGCATTATCGTTTGTGCTATGTTCTTACCTTTGCTGTTGGACCACATATATTTGCCAGTGTAGGGTTTGTGATTTCAAATTAAGAGCTTTGTGTACTCACAGTGAATTACTGAATACCTTCATACATGACCAAAATAGAAAAATAACCTTTTATTTGCCCCCTCCCCCCAACGGCACCAGAGAAAACAGTAGACACAAAAAAAGTAAATTTTCTATTTATTTTCTTTTCTTTTAAGTGCTTTCATTTGCGAAACAGCAGATTTCAAAGCAAGACATAAAACGTCTAACCTTTGGCAAAGTTCTAACAGAAGAGACAGAGAACAGACATCCCAAGTTCCAAAAACTAATTTCAGGGAGATGGTTATCCCCACCCAGGGAAAAATGGACCTGCACCGTGCCCCATACATACACACTTAAGGCCAGCAACTTTTCAACAACTGTTTATTAGCTAACAGTAATTTCTTAAACACAAAACAGAACAGTATTGGTCTTTTCTTTTCAATTTTCAATACTTTTACAGTTTTTTTGGATTGCTTACACACTAAAGTTAAAAGTAGTACACTATTAGCAAAACCTTACACTCAAGAAGCAAAACATCAGCCCATATTTGCACAACTATAAGCACATTGTCAACCTCACACTTGTTGCAAAACTCTACACACAGTGATTTGCGAAACACTAAACACACTTAACATACATTACACACAAAAATCTATTATGAAACCACTTCCTTGCAATACCAAAGCACTGACTGTCAAATTACCACACCTTCCAACCAATTGATTCAACACAGTCATCAGGTGTGCAAACACTTGTTTGCTTAATTGTAGACACACCAATCAGGTGTATAAGCACTATAAAAAGCAGCAGGTGAGTTCATCGGTCTTCAAGCACAATAGAAAGAGTCAGAGAAATAGTAAGACGAGGTGGAGGAGAAGGAGGAGGACAAGGAGGAGGACGACAAGGAGGAGGAGGAGGAAGGGGAGGAAGAGGAATCAATGGAAGAGGAAGAGATGGAGGCCATGCTGGAGGTAGAGGAAGAGGAAGACAAGAACGTGGTAGAGGTAGAGGAAGACAAGAACGTGCTCAAAGAGGACCGAATCTGGCAAATGAGATCCGCGCAACACTGGTTGACCACGTTGTCAACCACGGCCTGATGCTGAGGGAGGCTGGACTGAGAGTACAGCCAAATCTAAGACGATACACAGTGGCAAGTGTGATAAGAACATTTTGACTGGAAAATAGGTATTGTAAAAATATCATCATATCAAAAACATCTGCACAGTTTCAGCAACTGCTTACAGTACTATCAGCACTTCTGTTACCTTTTCTTGTGAAATTACTGTACTATTGTTTACTGTTTTTTTTTTCTACATAGGATTGAGGGTCAGGAACGACGAGGTGGAAGGCCTCCTATGTTCACAGAACAGCAAGAGAGGGAGATAGTAAACATGGTTTTGGCCAACAATGCTATAACCCTCAATCAGCTCCAAGCTAACATTGTCAATAACCATGTCGGTTTCAACAATATCCATCAGGTCTCAACATCAACACTGGCACGCATCCTAATAAAAAACCATATTCAAATGAAGAAAATTGATCGAGTGCCTTTAGATCGCAATTCCAAAAGGGTGAAACGAGTGCGGCATGATTATGCAGAGGTATGTATTCACCTAAGCATTGTGATCTTGCATACTGTCTCATAATCTTTTACTGTACAGTAATATGTATACTAGATCTACACTGAACACAATTTTGCCTGACACTGTTCTTCAGAGAGTTTAACAAATGGATGGAGAGGAGATCCAGCATGAGTTCATTTACGTAGATGAGGCTGGGTTCAACCTGACGAGAACACGAAGGAGGGGAAGAAACATCATTGGCCACAGGGCTATAATCAATGTCCCAGGGCAACGTGGGGGTAATATAACACTCTGTGCAGCCATTACACAGAATGGGGTCCTCCACCGCCATGCCCATATGGGCCCTTACAACATAGCACTCATACTTAGATTCTTGGACCAATTGCACAACATAACAGCAGCAAATGAAATCGATCATATGCAATACATTGTTGTATGGGACAATGTGTCTTTCCACCGCTCTGCTCTGGTTCAGAACTGGTTTCAGCAACATCCACATTTCACAGTCCGATATCTTCCACCATACTCTCCATTTCTCAACCCTATAGAAGAGTTTTTCTCGGCATGACGGTGGAAGGTATATGATCTCCATCTCCAGGCTGAGGTACCCCTCATCCAAACCATGGAGGAGGCCTGTGACCAGATGGAGGTAGCAGCAATGCAAGGATGGATTCGTCATTCAAGACGTTTCTTTCCAAGGTGACTTGCTAATGACAACATTGCCTGCGATGTTGCTGAAATTTTCTGGCCAGATCCAGCTAGGTGAAGAGACAATGTCTAGTTTTTGTTTTGTTTTTTACAGTTAACTTGCAGTACAATACGTAAAGTGACATTTTGTTACAGTATTATGAATCTCCATGTCAACATTTTGGGCGTTTTGAGAAATAAATGAGTTTCTTCAGTGTGCAACATTGGTCTTGTGTAGTGTTTGGTGAATTTACATTATATTTGTACTTTGTTGATGGTAGCCAACTCTAATCATAGGGAAGTAGAAGTGCTAAAAGTGTTTTAGGTTTATCACAGCAGAGTGTAACTCGTGCAAACAGAGTATAGTATTGTGAAACGTGTGTGTTTCATATGGTAACAAAGTGTGGTTTTTAAACAGAAGTGTATAGTTTTTACAAGAGTGTTTAATTATGCAAAGGATCTGTAGTGTTTTGCTAATTGGGTGTGTAGTTGTGCTAATTGTGTGTAGTGTTTTGAAAACACGGGCCCTGTTTTGAAAATCGTGCTTAAGCAATCCCAAAAAACTGTAATCTTGTAGCCCTGAACATCGGTTGTGCTTTCTGTTTTTCATGGGACTTCAGCATACAGTGCACCTCGCCACCGTATCATCATTCCTCACCATGGCCAAGTATAGACAGGGGCCAACGGGGGCCAGTGCCCCTTTAGATCATGTCCTGACCCCTGTTATGGCCCCTGTAATGAAGACGTACTCCTTAAAAGAAATTCTAATGATGATATGTGCTGGAACAGACATGGTTACTGATAGGTCATTTGTATCTATTTCATTCTTTTTCTTTACAAATTCTGTTTTACAAATTATTCAAAAACAATAAGGTGATAGCTTCAGTGGTATAGAGATAGGATCCCAGTTTTCAACTGCTAAATGTTTTTTTTTTCACAACAAAAAACAAAATGCTCTAATTTTTACAGATGGTTTTTCTTGAGTTCTAATTCCAATTTTATAGAAAACAGTAGTTTTAACTTAAATTAAGTTAAAAAAAAATATGTAAGATTCCTTATAAATGTATATTGACCTCATAAGAAACAGGATTTTTATTGAACCAATTGAAAAGAAATTTCCTTCATGCTTTTCTGTGGCCCCCATGAAAACACGCTGGCCCCCCTCCTAGCCCCCTGCTACATACAAGTTTTTGAAACTTTGGATGTCTGAGATAATGTTGTAATAAGTATAAGAAAATCACCAAAAATTATGATAAAACACGGTTTTTTGGTATTCCAAGTGGGGAAAAGTGGGGGAAATGAATATTTAAGTGAGCACTCCTCTCAGAAGTACGGAAGAGGATTAGGGCCACTAAAAAAAAAAAAAAAAGTTAACTGATTTTTAAATTTTATTTCAGTTTAACATGACTGAAATCCTGACTTTTTTATTGTCAGTATTAAGTCAGAATTCTGAGTTTAAAGTTAGAATTCTAAGAAAAAAGTCAGAATTCTTAGAAAAGAGTCAGAATTCTTAGAAAAGAGTCAGAATTCTTAGAAAAAAGTCAGAATTCTGAGAAAGAAAAGTCAGAATTCTGACTTTTTTCCCCATACTAAACTGAAATAAAATTTAAAAATCAGTTAACTTTTTTTCCCCACTGGCCTTAATCCTCTTCCGTACAGAAGTGAGCCCTCCTCTCAGATAAAATCCCACGTGCTGCGCGCGCTGATCTTTATAAATAGACATCCGGTCCTGATGGGGAAGCTCTGCAAACAGACTCTATAAAAAAAAGCAACGGATTTGGTATGAAGCGCATAGCTGGACAAAATCAGGACGAAACAACTGAGACCGATCATAGAAAAAACAAACCCTAGCAAATCTGCCAGAGAGCCCTCTACAGCCGCCCAGAGACAAGATGTCAGTTTCTCAAGTTAACGGGAAATTCTCAGCTCTGCCTCACGACGCGGAAGTAAGTGATGGTCTACTCACATGTTTGTTAATATGTTTATAAACACTTACATCTTATATAAAATTAATTGCTAGATTCTTTTGGGACACAGACCCATAGAAACGTGATCTACATTAGCAAATGGCACACTGCTTAGTGCGCACAGATAAGGAAGCGTATTGCTGACACTTGAAACATTTTTTTTGCTCATTATATTGTATAAACGTGATAGTATATTGTATAAACGTGATAGTTATATTGTATAAACGTGATAACTCTATCCAGATGGTTCCGCTAATACGCCTTTAGTCTTTAGCGACCGCGAGACTTGTAAAAAAACAGTTTTTATTGAAGTTTCACAACTCAGAGAAATGTATTACAAATCCCAGGCCTGGTTTTCATTATTCTACAAATAGTTTAGAACAATCTAGTCCAGGTTAGACGTGTCTAAGTGTTGTAGTTTTTTAATTAGAGTGGATTAAAAATGCTGAAAATTAAAGTGGAATTGCCCTTTACTCATGTCCCGAAGCGGAAGCTGCAATCGGAAGCCAACTTCCACTTTCGTGGAAGAAATGAGGTCCAGGATCAATATGCGCCGCATCAGCCTCCTCCTCTGCCTTCGTTCCACACCCCTTGGGTCCAGAAATGATAATAGACCTCTCACTGTATTCTGAGTCCCAGCAGATCCATGTTGAACACATTTAAGGTGGTGAAACGTATATCCGTGCAGGCTTCCGTATCTCTCCAGCTGGTCAACGAGCATCTAGAGGAACTAATTGATGTTTTCTTCCATAGAGTCCCATTCTGTGGAGGATTCTTCTCAATATGTGCATGCTAATACTGATCTCCTCCACTGTGCAGCAGCAGCATCAGGATCTCAACAGTCTTAGACCGACAATAAAGTAAAACTTGATCAACTCCAGTAAACTCGCCATTGTGCTGCTGAGGAGATGACATGCAGAGTGAAAACGTCCCACGATTACCTGGATAAGGATGTCAGGATAGTTCTCATGTTCGATCAAACATTTAATTGGAGCCCCACCTTCATGTGTGACAGACAGTGACTCTGATGCGCTGCACTTTGGAAGGAATCTCTGTTTAGCCAGCCTCTCTCCACTTCCTTCAAAAAACTACTTAGAGCGAAAACATCTTCATCTTAAATAAGTCTCGCGGTTACTACTGAATAAAGCATATAAGTTATCACGTTTATACAATATAATTATCACGTTTATACAATATAATTATTACGTTTATACAATATAACGATCACATTTATACAATATAACTATCACGTTTATGCAATATACTATCACGTTTATACAATATAACTATCACGTTCATACAAATATACTATCACGTTTATACAATATAACTATCACGTTCATACAAATATACTATCACGTTTATACAATATAATGAGCAAAAATGTATTTTTTCAAGTGACAGCAAAACACTTCCGTACACAGAGCTTCAGTAAACTACAGTAATATAGATATGTTTATTCTGTATAAAAAAATAAAACATTTTTAAAAATAGATTTAGGGACATTTTACAAAACTAACTCATGATGAGAATTTCCATGTGTGATGCGAGTTTGATGCCACTACAACAAAGTACAGTTAAGTTATCCCTTAGCAAAAAGTAGTTTATTCAAGTATACTAAAAGTGCACTAATTTCATACTTAAAATCAGGCAATGCGCTTAGGGTTTACTTATTCTAAACTAATATACTTAAAAATAGTATAGTCAAGTGTACTTGACTATACTACCGTTTACTGTATTGTTTACTAAAGTATACTTTAAGTATACTTTAGTAAACTTAAAAATGTCCCAATTTAGTTCGAAGAAGTATCACTTTAGTAATACTTCAAGTACACTAAAAGTACATTGTTCGGTATACTTTCTAAACTTATACTTAAGTATTCTTAATAGAATGTACTTCAAGTATACTACTTTTTGCTAAGGGATTGCTCAATTTATACTTATTTTAGTGATTGAAAAAAACACAAAGAATCAAAGTCAGAGTTTTAGTATAATCAAGGTCATTTGTCTTGTGTTTGTCTTACTTATTTAAAATGGAAGCCCTTTATTCAAAGCTACTGGAGCTCTTTTCCTTGTCAAAATGATGTGGCTTTTTGTACAATATGTACCATGTGTGATGTCACTTCACAAAAAAAATCTGACTTTCATTTACAGTTTTTAGACCCTGTATACTCTCACACAATGAGTTAACTGCATGTGTCACTAAAAGGGGAGGGGTGTTCTTGGAAAACAATGTTCAGAGAATAAAAATGAGTCTTAAAGTGAAACTTAAAATCCACTAAGCCTATACAACATTCATTATGCTGCTTAATAGACCACTTTTTCCTTTCATTTTTGGCAGCAGAAGGCCTACATCAGGCAATTTGCTATTATGAATTTCCACTATTTGATTAAAAAACAAAAACAAAGAAGATCTTAGATCTCTAATGAGATGTTGATTCACAGAGGACAGAAAAAGAAATACTAAAAATTTAATCAAGCTAAAAATGAAATAGTTTGTGGAATTTAGTGTTGTCAGAGGGTTAAATAGTAACTGCTGCTAGGAGAAGTTTTCATTATTACACATTGTTTGGTGTGGTCAATGAAGCATGTAAGATAACATATTAACCCCCCAAAAAAAGCCTAACAGTGAGAACAGGGAATATTGGAGACAGATTGGATAGCTTGATGTCTCTGGCAGTTCCTCCTTAACATTTGACTGTATTTTTCTCAGTCCAGTTTCTGCAGAGGTGTAAAAAGAATTAATGTTTATTACTTAAGTAAAAGTATAAATCTTACTGTTTAATTTTTTTTTTACATAATTTATTGTATTAATTTATAGTATAAAGTAATGCACAACAAATGCTTTAAACCTTTTACTGGTTGCTGCACTACCCTATTAAAGGAACATATTTCTAATTTTCTTAGTTTTATAACTTGTAATGGTATCAGTGACAAATTTAGCATTGCTTCATCTTAAAAATAGTTATTTTGGTATTTGGCAAACAAAAAGTTGGTGCAGTACTGTTTCCACTCACCTATTAATTAAATATAACAAATAAAAATAATATTTTATTGAAGGAAAGGTATGACAATTTACTTGATTTTGTCATGGTTGTTAGCTGCTTTACATTAGAAAATCAACAATTACAAACATTCCCGAAATCCTGTTAATTTCTTCTTCTCTTCTCTTCTTTTCTTCTTTTTTCCCCTGTTGTTGGTCAGTCCAAGAATAGAAGTGGGTCTCATCTTGAGTATTGCTGATTTCTTTCTTTCCCTTTTCCGCTTTAGTTTATCTATCTGACAGTATTCTTTCCATGGAAAACAGCTATGGAGAACCGATCCTGCCATGATAAAAAACAGGTACAGAATTAAAGGAAGGACTTTATATTATAAAATTGCTTGAAAAGGTAGCTAATAATATGAATTTGTGTGCCATAAAATGTGAAAAAATAATAAAAAGAAGATATTTCTTCAAACTGAACCAGGACCTCAGGTATGGTGGCACCGTCGAGATGTTCCGTTTCTGATCTATTAAGAGAGGCTGCCAACAGTTTGGATGAGTTAGATGAGTTGCCGCCATACCTAAGGTCCTGGTTCAGTTTACCAATAGAGGGAAAATCCAAGCGTGCGCACTCCAGCTAAGTAACCATGTCCGGGGAGCCAGGCCTTGGCCAATAGTTGTAAAGCTTTGCCGGTGACACCGCTCCGCGCCCCCTCCCTTCCCGGCATCGTTTAAACATTAAAGGCTGCAGAAGACCAAGTGGAAATAGAGCAAGTAAAAAAACACGAATTAGAAATATATGAAGTGGAAAAAGCGAAGGAAATAAAAGGGCAGGCGTAAGTCCTTCGGGTGAAAAAAAAAAAAAAACTGAAAAGTTAGAGGTACAAATAAATAATTGTTTCAGAAATAGAGGGTTAAAATAAAGTAGAAAGAAATATTTATGGTGGAGTAAATATTTCTTTTAAAATGTTGCTTTAAAATATGAAGGAGAAATAGACGAAGTGGAAAAAGAGCAGAAGAAATGAAAGGGCAGGCGAAAATCCTTTGGGTAAAGAAACAGTTAGAAAAGTTAGAGGCAGAAATAAATGACTGCTTAAGAAATAGAAGGTTAAAATAAGATAAAAATGTATTTTTATGGTGGAGTAAAAATATGCTTTAAAAATTTGTTAAAAAAAGAAGTAGAAAGAGAAAAAGGGGAGAAGGAAATAAAAGTGCAGGTAAAAATCCTTTAGGTAAAAAAAAACAGAAAAGTTAGAAGTTAGTTAGTTAAAACAAAATGAAAAGCAATATTTACGGTGAAGTAAAAACATGCTTTAAAAATGTTTTGGTGTAAATCATTATGCGAAAAAAAACAACAACATCTTTTTAAAATGTTGGTTTGAATAAATATGAAAAAACAAAAAAGGTTGCATTGGAAATACTGAACAAAAAAAAAACCCTTGCAATAAATACATAAAGACAAAATAAAGTCTTCAATAAAAATGTATAACAGAAAAGAAGTGGGTTAAAAATACGTCATCATAAAAGCAAGAAGAAAAGTCAAAATAAAAGTGTAAGTTAAAATATGTTTTTTGATGAATAATTGATCTATTGTTGAAGAAATATCTTTTTATTATTTTGTCACATTTAATGGCACACAAATTCATATTATTAGCTACTTTTTTAAGCAATTTTATATTATTTAGTCCTTCATTTATTTCTGTACGTATTTTTAATTATGGCAGGATCGTTCCTTCATAAACAGCATGTAGCTTACCCCATTATCCAAGACATTATGACAAACGTATTACTCAGGTTACTCTTAGGTCATGGTAACTCATAGCTGGGAGCTGATTTGCCAATGTTGTGAGGAAGAGGAAGCCACTGCTGTCATGTCAGCAGAAAGAAGTTGCCTTTAACTGAAGTGACCAAGGCCTCACTGAATGCTCCTGTTTGGGTGTGACTCTATCCTGGAGAGAAATATCAGCTGTGTTGCTGCCATCAGCACTTTTGTCTATAAATGTTGGAGCTTGGCCTGTTTTTCAGTGTAGTCCTGACATCCAGTCAGTCTCTGACTGTGACTGACTGGATGTGCTCTCTTCGTCCTCTGATGTGGGAGCTGGCTCGCAGCTCGTCTGCATGGCTGTGTGTTTCCTGGACGGGGCCGCCTGTGGAGCTGGTTGACAGTTGCCTTTTGTATCTTTGCTTCTTTTTCTATGTCTGCTTCTGTCTCCTTGAACCCCAGTCTGCCTCAGCAGATAGGTGCTCACACTAAGCCTGGTTTTGCTGGAAGTTTCTTCATGTTAAAAGGGAGTTTTTCCTCTCCACTGTCACGACAAGCATGCTTGGGGTGAGGGATTGCTTTTTATTTAATGAATGGATGCAATCAGCTGTATTTCCTAAACTTTGAAGCAATCTGACTCTATGATCGGGTTGAATTGTCTCTGTAAAGTGCCCTGAGATGACTTGTGTTGTGAATTGGCACTATATAAATAAACTGAATTGAATTGAATTCATGTTCGTGATAAACCACTGAACAACAAAACATTTATTTCTTTTTGCCTCATCAGGTCATCCCTTTTCCTTTGGAAGTCTGGGAGAAAATCTTCCAAAATCTGCCCCCCCATTTTGTAGTCTGTGTGTGTCGGTTGGTTTGCCATAAGTGGAAAGATGTGGCAGACAGCAAGTCTTTCTGGAAGGAAAGATGTAGAAGAGAGGGATATCATCTCAATGATCCTACCAAAGTACCCAGAGACTGGAGGATGTTTTACTTCTTATCCAAGAACAGAAGAAATCTCATCAAAAATCCAAGAGGAGAAGGTAAAAACTTTAAAAATGAGCTGCAACTTATGATTACTCTACTAATCAGTTGATTGGTTGACTATTTTCTTTTTCGACTTTACAATCAATAAATGGTAAAAAAGAGATTTTTGCATAATTTGAAAGAGATTAAAGCTAACACTAAGCCAGCCAGTGAGTTCTGAAAGTGCATATTCACAGACCAAAAAAGTTTTTTCATCTTAGATACAAAATCTTTATTTTAAATACAGCTCTGAGCTGGTATTTTTTAGAGTATATATGATTAATCATAAGAGGGTTGATTGTTTGAGCCCTACAAAACGAGCTTCACTAAATTTCATTTAGTTGCATTATTTTACAGCTCTATTTAAAAAAACAATCTCTCATCCTTTGATGCTTAGATGGATTTCAAAGATGGAACATAGTGCAGAATGGTGGTGATAAGTGGTCACTGGAAAACCCCAGGTTACCTCACCCAAATCCTGCAGTCAAAAAAACCTTTGTGACTTCATATTAGTGAGTATTCAGTAGCTTTGAAAGTTTTTCACCTTTAATTGTAGTTGAAAAATGTTTTCGTTGTTTGTAGTATGTGCACGAAAGAACAGCTGATTGATTTGGAGAAAGAAGGTTACAGCCCATCATTCATGGATGAGATCCAGCCACACATCAGAATCTCAGACTGGTAAGAAAAATGCACACAGCTGATGGATGCTCTTTTTGTTTTTTTTAGTTGTGTAAAACAAAAGACAACAGATCTCTGAATTTGGGTGTTGTTAGGTTCCAGCCACGATCGGATTGTGGAAGTTTCTATGAGTGTTCTGTGCAGCTGTTAGATAAGAGGAAACATGTACTCCAGGAGTTTCGCCCTGAGAGGGTTTATTTTCCTCAGTGGAATGATCAGAAGTGGAATCAGGTACTGTAGGTACACATTAATAACATCACAGGAGCTGGTAAGGTAAAACGATCCTTGAATTACTGATGGGGGTTTCTTCTCTCTCTTTCAGATGGTGCATGTGTTCAAGGACTACGGACCAGGAGTGAGATATGTTAATTTTTGTCATGGTGGTCAAGACACAAAGTACTGGGCTGGACATTATGGAATTCGTGTAACAGAAAGCTGTGTTGAAGTATGTCCAGCATTGGAAAACTAGCTTATTGATGTAATGACCAGAAAGTGGGTTGGAATATCTTTGCATTCTTAACCGATAAAAACCTATTAGGCATTTTCCTACCTTCTAAGGTACTCCCCTTCAAAAATATGCTTTTTTCTGTAACATGTTAGATTTCTAAATCTGTTACTCTGCAGCTAAAAATATAATTGATGTCCTGCTTCACTGTATCTACTAACCAAATAAAAAGACCATCACCTGTTTAACAGTCCTCGCTAATTTTCTATAACATTACAGAATCTATGTAAGAACTGCCTTAATATATGTGTGTAAATGTCTGTATTACCCTGTAACCTAACACTGCAATGTTCCTCTTTTGTCCTTATATCTGCACTCATTTTATACCAATTATTTTCCTTAAAGAGACGTACCTCCTTCTGTATGTCAGCATGGAACGTGTATTGAGGTTAAAACAAATAAAAACTCAAATTTTGCACTTTATGAAAATGTATATTCTTGGTTTGTTAAAAACTTAATACAGTGATACAGGAAGGCAGCTTGGAATATTTTTGCCTACTTAACAGAGAAAAACCTTAACCTCACTACCTTCTAAGGTCCTTTCTTCAGAAATATGCAGCATGAAACTGAAAGACAGTGTGTAAGAACGTACAATATTGTGATGTAAGCTTTTATGTTTACATTTCCCAGAAAACCTTTTTTTTGTCATTCTCAAACTACATTCCAAACAGTTATGTCATTGTAAACTTTATAGAAACGCTCTACATCTGTTGCTCCAGATCTAAAAACATATTTGACATCCTGCTGCACTATGTCTTCTAACCTAATTGAACAGTCTTTCCTAATATCTGTGTGTAAATTACATGTGCTGTAAGCCCACTCTGCTATATTCCTCTTCTGTCCTGATATGTTTGATGAGGAAAGCTGCGCATTCTTTAAGTATCAGCAAATTTCCTCCTGATTTCCCTATGCTTAGCTTCACCCATGTTCCATCAACTCTTGCATGCCCTGATTCTCCTGAAGCAAATAGTCATAATGTTGCCATTACAATCTTAAACTTTTGAGATTTTACATACAGGGTAATATGCATTGATTTATGAATAAACATACTGCTTTTGTATGTAGGCCATATATTCTATTTCGTCCTCATCTGATCAGAGCACATTTTTTCTTCTGTTTATTGTTTCCTGTACAGAGCTTTGGCAAACTGATAGCACATTCTCTTTTTTTTATTTTGACTTCTTGCCAAATAAAGAACTGCTATTTGGAGTTGACATTTATTTCAGTTGGAAACTACATCTGAGAAAGGAAAAATCACATGTGGGTTCACCAAGGCTCTGGGTAAATGAAAGAAATCAATGCAAGGATGTTTCAAAACCTTCTACATCTGAATAAAAACAAGTTGAAGCAATAATTGCTTTTGACCAAAAGAGGAGCAATCAGGCGTTAGCACACAGATTCAGTTTCTACAGCTAGAAACTAGTGGTAAAGCTTGAAATGATTCAGACCGGAACCTTCAGAGGCACATTAAGACAATTGATAAGCCTTTAGTCACCTGAAGAACATTAAAGCATGAATGTCCAGGATTTTTGGAAACCTAATTCATGTGCTCATCTTTGGTCAAATTAATTACAGCAACTTTTTCTTCATGGGTCTCCAGAATATGTTGATCTGATAGCTGCAGTTGATCTAGAATGCCCCCATCCTCACTGCATCAAAAAGGACATTTTCTATTTCTAAACTTCTTCCACTGGCTACATGTATCTCACAAAATAGACTTTAAAACAGCCATCCAGATGTATCAGGGTTTCTGGCACAAGTCTACTCCACATTTCCATACAGGTGATCACAGAGACAAACTCTCCCCTAGAAAACCTAAAGGCGAATTCATAAAAGAGCAAGCAATCTGTATTAGTTCTCTTTATTTGCAGTATATTGTTGTAAATATACAGCGTTTGGTTAATATACCAGAATTCAAATGTCAATGTAGGAAATTTCACCTGATGGTTTCACTGCTGCCACCATCAGGCTTACAAGAGAACAGCTTGTTAGAGGGGGAACAACAAATAACCGGGTAGGGGTGATCATGGCACCCCTGGCCGTCTCTAGATCCACCCCTATGAGTATGAAAAACAAAATACCCTCCACCGAATGCCACAGAAACCAATTCTAAATTTAATATTTTTCAGATCAACCACTCCATGACTACAGACCTGGAGTGAGATATATTTGACATGCAGGCATAGATACAAGGTCATGGAAAGGGTGGTATGGAGTTCTTGCTGATTTCTGTATTGAGATTTGTCCAGCAATGAACATCATAGTTGGATCAGGCTTTGGGAGAACAGGAAAAGACATATCAAGAAGAAAATATCTAATTTATGCTTCATTTCTACACGGATGTCTGTGAATTTAAGGTGTGCTGTGCCAGTGTCAACATTAGAGAGTAACTTAATAGCTTTATAAAATAAAAACTTTAGGTATTTTCTTTAAAACAGGAGGGTTGTAGAACCAGAAAAGTTAGATTTGAGGTATAAACTGCTTGGTTTGACATCGGCTGCAAATCCCCAAGCTGTCAGCTATGATAGAACTGATGTGCTAGTTAGACACTCAGATTTTAAATATACTAACCCTGTAATTTCAAAGTAAACTGAGGAATAGTTCAACCTTACTAAGTTGAAATTAACTCATAAAAATAGCCGGGGCAATATGACATTAGTAAACCACATAAAAGAAATGAATAAATTAAAAAGATGATCTAGAATGTGTCTTCTATCCTCCTAGTGAGGAGGAGAGTCTTGCTGAGTGTTCAATATCTATGTCATCAATATAGCATGTTTCTGATTGGAGGAAAAAGGATGTTGAAATGTCTTTATTTAACCTTTGGACCCAGTGCTTAAAACTAAATGTTAGAAAAAAAACACTGTAAGTGAGGAAATGGTGATATCACAAATATAAAAGGGAAAATTGTTTTGCTAAATCTTTATATTTTATCTTATTGCACTCCTGTAACTCATCCTTGGTGTAACTAACCAGGGGCGGAGCTAGATGGGGGGCCAGGGGTGGCCATGGCCACCTTTAGTTAATCATTGGCCTGTGGCCACCCCTACCATTTTTTCCCCCTTTTAATACAGGCGGTGGCAGCAGTAATACTCTCAAGTGGAATATTCAAAACATTTACATTTTTCATATATCAACAATTACTTGACAACAAAAACAATATGTTTAATTATGCAAATCAACATTAAAAATGATAATTCATGCTCTTTTCAGAACTAGATTTTGTGTTATAGGGGGTAAAGAGAAAATTATGTGTCTCTGAAAGACATCTAGGAGTCTTCAGTGAAATCATAGATAATTAACTATCTTAATAAAAACGTAATAATCAATTTATGTAGATATAAGTGCTTTTAAAAATTAATTTTATGCAGAATAATTGCTAATAAAAGTAGGCAAGTAATGACAAAGGAAGAGATGTTTGCCCCAGAACTCAAAACTGAAAGAATTGTATCCACTATACCTTTTATCTAGGAAGCACGGATGTCTGAATATATTCTTCTATTTGTTAGCAAAGGTTGCTATGATAATAGTTTGTCTTAATTAGAGAATATGGATGTTGTGCTCGTTAATTTTTCTGTTGCAATAGTGTAGATTGACCGTGAGGTTCTGGCGCCTATCTACTTTCGTCCTGCTGGAGCCTATTAAGAATTAGATTAATTTATTTTTTGCAAAATTATTAATGTTAAAGATCTAAGGTTGTGTGAATGGTAGAGCTATTGTTCATTGGTTTATGTATTGGTTTGGCTTTGACCTTCCTTCTTGTCAGTCCGCCTCCTGCTGAGATTAACAAGTAGAAGCAGCTGATGAGGTGGATCTGATTGTTTGTTTGAAGGAGTGAGGAGTGCCACAGTTTTTTCATTCTCCACGAGTGCTTTTTGTTTTGTGAGTCGAAAAACCTCCTCCTAAGACTACTCTGGCAATTTTTGATTTTTTGGGAAACTATTTTGATGCAAGAGTAGCCGTAACGATATTGGCATCTTGAGAGTTGGTGGTAGGATAAACAAAAGTGCAATATCAATCCACAAGAAAAACCCGATCATTCTACCTAAAGGTTCGCATTTATCTAACCCCATCTTACAACAAATTCATCACCAATTTGGACATTCATGAAGGAGCCACATGCTCTCCAAGCTAAGGCAGAAATTCTGGCTCCCTCATGCAAACTCCTTAGCCAGAAAAATCATCAAGAGCTGTCTATTCTGTAGACGCATGCAGGCAAAACCTGGTGAACAGAAGATGTCAGACCTTCCTGAGGACCGTTTATTTCCAGACCTACCTCCTTTCAGTCATGTTGGCATTGACTACTTTGGTCCTATTGAAGTAAAAAGGGGACGAGCTCAGGTGAAAGGATGGGGCGTCATATTTACCTGTCTGGTGAGTCGAGTTGTCCACCTAGAGATGGCAAACTTCTTAACAGCAGATTCATGCATAAATGCTATACGCAGATTCATCTGTAGAAGAGGATCAGTGATGAGCATCAGAACAGACTGTGGGACAAACTTTATGGGAGCACAAAAGGAATTACAAGAAGCATTAAGAGAGCTAAATCATCAGAAAATCCAAAAGAATCTTTTAGTAGAGCGAATAAAATGGATTTTTAACCCACCTTTTGGGGCTCACCACGGTGGAGTCTGGGAAAGACTAATACATCTAATGAAAAAGACCCTCACATCTGTCCTTAAGGAACAAACACTGGATGATGAAACCCTATCAACAGCACTATGTGAAGTGGAAGCCATCCTAAATGACAGGCCAATAACTTTAGTGTCGAATGACCCTAATGATTTAGAACCACTAACACCAAACCAGTTATTCCAGCTGAAAGGAAAAGCAACCATACCACCAGGAGTCTTTGAGAAAACAGATCAATATTCAAGAAGAAGATGGAGACAATCACAGTATCTTGCAGATCTTTTCTGGAGACGTTGGACAAGGGAGTATCTTACACTCATGCAAGAACGAAGCAAGTGGAACAGCAAAAAGAGGAACTTCAGCCCTGGAGATCTGGTTGTTATTGTGGATAACTCGGCACCAAGAAGCGCAGGGACAATGGGACAATGTGATGAAGATTTTTCCGGATGCCAAAGGTTTTGTTTGAAGCGTTTTGGTTAAAATCAAAGCCAATGTCATCCAGCGACCAATAGATAAGCTCTGTCTTTTAATGGAGGCAGCTGGATGAAATAAGACTTTCTATGGACTGCTTTAAGCATTAGAAATGTTGAGAAGCTCTAGGTTACATTTATGGACAAAAGGATTAAATTTATGTAATGTTTTTGCTAGATGTTAGGCTCCTGTGAATATTATTTTTGTAATTGTTATTTTGCTAAGGCTAACAATTAGGGGCCGTGATGTTGGAGCCTATTAAGAATTAGATTCATTTATCTTTTGCAAAATTATTAATGTTAAAGATCTACGGTTGTGTGAATGGTAGAGCTATTGTTTATTGGTTTATGTATTGGTTTGGCTTTGACCCTCCTCCTTGTCAGTCCGCCTCCTGCTGAGATTAACAAGTAGAAGCAGCTGATGAGGTGGAGCTGATTATTTGTTTGAAGGAGCGAGGAGTGCCACAGTTTTTTCACACACATCACTTAACTTTATATTTAATTTTTTTGTAAGTCAACTCTGAGAATATTTCTGTTATTTTTTTATAAGTAAAGAAAACACCCCTTTTTTGAAACAAGAACATTCCCCACAAGTGCTTTTTGTTTTGTGAGTCGAAAAACCTCTCTACTCTGGCAATTTTTGATTTTTTGGGAAACTATTTTGATGCAAGAGTAGCCGTAACACGGCCACCCCTCAGTGCACATTGGTTATTGCCTGGCCACCCTTATAAATATTTTCTGGCTACGCCTCTTTAACTAACGCTCTAATGAAGAAACTACAAGCAGCATTTCACGAAAACTTTAGAATCCTCTTCAGGATTCAGAGATGGATATCTGTAGTCTTATGAGCAACATTCCTACTTTTATGCATTATTGAGGAACTATGTGTGTCGTCTTAATGTGTCAAACAGCTTCATAGTTAGAGCTCTGTCAATTCCAACATAGGGTAACTGTGCCAGTGGTCAGAGCGCCTGGTGGCACCTGTGTACTGCAGCCTCACTTATGCCAGTGTGTCCCAGGGCAGCTGTGGCTAAAATGTAGCTTGCCACCATCAGTGTGAGTGAATGGGTAAATGACTGAATATGGAAAAAAGCGCTTTGAAATCCCCTAACTTATAAGTACAGACCTTCAAACCACATATAAAGACACCAAATATAGACAATTTAGTCTTTTTTTTTCTTTCTTCTTTTTAAACACAGTATTCTTTGATTCCTGTTTTCGTTATTCTTCTCTTATTCTTTTTCCTGTTTTTTTTTGTAGCTCTCAAACATAAGGACTAATCTATGTCTGGAATAAAAGTAAGGTAGAAATATAAAAGGTCCCTTTTTTGGATTTTAAGATGTATTGTAAAAGAACTGTAAATATTAAAACGGATTTTTTTTTTCCTGCAGAGACAAAACTAGGAACGAAGCTCACACGGAACGTTTCTTCAAGAACACTTTCAAGACGTATTTTCCTGTTACACAACATTCCGTTTTAAAAGCTGCTGTCACGTCTTGTTGACGAGTTGCATCTGTGAATACTGCATGGATATCTAAGGCTAATAGAAACGCATACATGGATGTTTCTTTCATTAATCGTATTTTCTTTCCTCTACGTCGCAAAGGTAAACATATGACTTGAGATAAAATAGCCTACATTGGTGACAGGAAGTTATGACTCACTTGTCTGAATAAGTAAGGCGAAACATTTGAGCTTTTATATAATAATATTCAGTTGGATAGTTATTTTGTGAGTCAGTTTTAATTTAACTCCAATTTACAACGATAAACGTTTTAAGTGCGCACTTCCTTTGTTCCTCATTGTAATACTTTCGGTTTGAAGGGGATCTGCTGTAGGTTCTGGAGTAGCAGGTCTGCCACACATCAAGCTTTGGTTTAGCGAAAGAGACGAATAATACCACCATGGGTGCCAATCCCACACACAACGTTAACCCAACTGCTCAGAATTCAGGAGAATTGGTAAGTTCTGCTGGGGGAGACACAAGGAGCCATACAGATGCGAATTCATATGATTACTTAGGCTGATCTATTCAAGGTTGTTCATGAACGAGAAAATCACATTAGCTGTTGATAATAGACTATTCTAACGATTTAATGATAGTTATTTTTCATGGTGACATACAGTTAAGCCATGTTCCATCTGTGACTCTATATACTGTGACTCTCTCTCTCTCTCTCTCTCTCTCTCTCTCTCTCTCTATCTCTATATATATATATATATATAGATACTGTATGTATATATACATATACTTAATCTACTTACTTAATCTATGTATATATACTATATATATATAATTTAAATTCAAAATCAGATTAGTTTTCATTCTATCCAGTATAATTATGACTTGCTCCACCATAACCTAACAATGAATGGAAAAAAGGGGTTATTTGTAACAAAATGATTGTGCAACTTTGTGCACATGTGGGGATGAACTGGCCCTTTTTCCATCCTTTAAAGTCCAGGGCAGTTATTCAGTCCAGGGCTGTCAGCCTGCCTACATTACACTAAGTGCCTCAAACAGGGCTCCAACAGATGTCATGGCTCATTTCAGAATGCCAAGGAGCCTCGTATTCGTACTCATTGGAGCAGGTAGAACTGGAATAACCAGGCTGAAGCTGGAAAAACAACCAGAATGGATGAATTTGAAGTTGCAGCTAAACACTTTCTTATCCAACAAGGCAAGAATTTGGAGGTTTCGTCTAAAAAGCATCATAAAGATGCTTATAGAAGAAGAGAGAACAGAGTAACTTCAGCTACCTGAGCTAAAGGTAAACTTAAAAGCTCTGGCTGATAAAAAAAACAGCAGGAACCCACCCTGGGAGTATTGAAAGGTCCTTTGGATTTTCAAATATGTTGTTAAAGCTGCATTTGGTCCAATTCTATATGTTGACAGGAAAACGCGTTGTACAATAAACTGAGAAAATATAATGTATCTTGTGCCACGGAGACATGCAAGGTTTTCTCTTTCTCTTTCTTTCTTATTCCGGTATCAAACATAGAACTCTGGTTTGGGCTAGGTATTTTCGCCAAAGCCCTGAATCGATTTGATTTTGATTCTTACAGTTCTAAGTCGATTAATTTGGATTTGGTCTGTTTATACAATAATGAAAGTGCTTCTACTATGTTTCAAAATACTCCTGTATTTAATTTTTTCGTGTCATATTAAACACAAAGTGTGAACAAAACTGTCTCAAAAGTGCAAACTTGTTTGTGAATAGTAAAATAGTGAAGCCTCACTCTAGCAAGCAGACGTGACACAGCGGGGACACAGCAGACATGCATGAGCTGCATTATCTCCACTGCACAAACCATATTTGCAGCGTTTTCTGTAACAACTACAGGGTGTTTGCTGCTCAGCCCCCATTTGTTAATGTCATCAATCAACCTATTGGCTATATTTGCAGCTGTCTGGCTTGAAGTCATCTTGAGAGCATCTTTCCTGCTCATTTGAATGTGAACTTCACGCGCATCACTATAAAACTAATCTATCTCTTTCCCTAGACATCGATTTTGCAAAAATGTAAAGGAATCGATTCAAAATCGATTTTTTTTTTTTACCCAGCCCTACTTCAGTGTTAGGTAATTCTTATACATTTTTCTAAGGTCCATGTTTGTCTGACCAATTTTTTTCTATAATCTTTTTGCTGCCATATCAACAGAAGTTCCCCATTGTGGGACAATAAAGGGATATTCTATTCCATTCTATTCCATTCTATTCTATTCTATTCTATTCTATTCTATTACTGCTTAAGTAGACATCAATACTGACAACAAAGAAACAACACTGTTAGTGTGTTAACCACCCTTTGAGTTTTCCTGCTAATCTTCTCTAATGTTGGCGATAGCCACAATATGCTTCTTTCTCGCATCAGGTCAGCACTGTTCCTTTGGACGTCTGGGAGGAAGTCTTCCTAAATCTGCCCCCCCATTTCGTAGTCTGTGTGTGTCGGTTGGTTTGCCATGAGTGGAAAGATGTGGCAGACAGCGAGTCTTTCTGGAAGGAAAGATGTAGAAGAGAGGGATATCAGCTCCATGATCCTACCAAAGTACCCAGAGACTGGAGGATGTTTTATTTCTTATCTAAGAACAGAAGAAACCTCATCAAAAATCCACGTGCAGAAGGTAAAACTTTAAAGTTAGCAGGGCTGCAGCTGACAATAGATTTACTAATCAATGGATCTGTTTACTAATTGTTTGTTTAACTGATTAATAATTGCATTGTAAATGTGTTAAAGCTAAAACTGCCAGTTTGGCTTACAAAACTAAAAGGCTTTTAATCTGAATCTCAAAATATGTTTTTTTTATTTTTATTTTTTTATTATTAATTCTTTCCATTAATTATTTCTTTGTAAACATTGTTCTTTAAAGCTACAGTGTGTAATAATTACAGGGATATACACTCCGAAATGTAATATATTATATATAACTATGTTATTTATCATCATCTACGAGCTCAGCCTCTTAACCTTAATATTTGCGTTGCCTTAGAATTCGTTATTTATAATTACATAGGAGCGGGTCTAGCGATTGCGAGATCGCCCATTACGCTCGAAAGTAACTACGGCAAGTTGAGAGAGATGAACTGAGACGGTACTGAACAATAGATGGCAGTATTATGCCTGAGAATACTATCTGTAAAATTATCTATGTAAACAAACCTCATCACTTGAGAAGGTAGGTGATGCGGACGTCGTGGAAGACATTTTGTCCTGTAACGCTCGCCGTACTGTTGGGGGGGAGAAGCGGTGGGGGGGAGATGTTCATGTTGCTGCAGTCTGCAGTCTGGACGTTAGATGTCGCTAAAAATTACACACTGTAGCTTTAAGCACATGGCATGAGTTCTTATAATGCCTTTAGTAAAAAATTCAATTTATAACTGATTATTTGTGAGTTGAATAAGTTTCATTAAGTTGTATTATATTCCATCTGTTTTAAAATAAATTCTGCAGATACTAAGTCTCTCATACTTTGATGCTTAGATGAATTTCAAGGTTGGAAAATTGTGAATAATGGTGGTGATAGGTGGAAGATAGAGGATCCTATGGTGCCTCATCCAAATGCAGCAGTCCAAAAAAACTTTGTGACCTCCTATCAGTGAGTATTGAGTTTTGAAACGTTTTCATGTTTATTAATTTAATTTTTTGTTGCTAATTATGTTTTAAACATTTGTTGTCTGCAGTATGTGCACGAAAGAACAGCTGATTGATTTGGAGAAGGAAGGTTACAGCCCCTCACTTATGGATGAGATCCAGCCACACATCAGAATATCAGACTGGTAAAAAAAAGAAAAAAAAAGAAAGCAACTCTTGATTAATGGATATTTTTTTGTTGAAAACAAACAAAAAAAAGATCTTGGTATTTGTGCTTTGATGTTAGGTATGCACCACGATGGGATTGTGGAAGTATCTATGAGATTTCAGTACAACTGCTAGATAAAAACAAAAGAATTGTGAAAACGTTTTCCCCTAAGCACGTTTCCTTTCCTCAGTGGAATGACCAGCAGTGGAATCAGGTACATCAATGTTACTAATATAGGAGCTGCTAAGCTAAACAGATCCCTACATTACTGATGTTAATTTATTTTTTCTTTCAAGATGGTGCATGTGTTCAAGGACTACGGACCAGGAGTGAGATACGTCAATTTTTGTCATGGCGGTAGAGACACACAGTTCTGGGCTGGACATTATGGAATTCGTGTAACAGAAAGCTGTGTTGAAGTATGTCCAGCATTGGAAACCTAGCTTATTGATGTAATGACCAGAAAGTGGCTTGGAATATCTTTGCATTCTTAACCGATAAAAACTTGTTAGGCATTTTCCTACCTTCCAAGGTACTCCCCTTCAAAAATATGCTGTAGGAAACTTAAGGAAAACATTAAGGACAAGAGTTTTGCTTATATGTATCATATTGTATTTAAATGCTAAAAGGATATATCTTCAAATTGTTTTATTTGAAGTTTTGTGTATGATTTTGTAACATGTTAGATTTCTAAATCTGTTACTCTGCAGCTAAAAATATAATTGATGTCCTGCTTCACTGTATCTACTAACCAAATGAAAAGACCATCACCTGTTTAACAGTCCTCGCTAATTTTCTATAACATTACAGAATCTATGTTAGAACTGCCTTAATATCTGTGTGTAAATGTCTGTATTACCCTGTAACCTAACACTGCAATGTTCCTCTTTTGTCCTTATATCTGCACTCATTTTCTGCCAAATATTTTCTTTAAAGAGACATACCTGCTTCTGCATGTCAATATGGAACGTGTATTGAGGTTAAAACAAATAAAAACGGAAATTTTGCACTTTATGAAAATGTGCACTTCTTGGTTTGTTAAAATACAGTGATTTTTCAATGTTTCCCACTTATCTTTGAGCCATATTTTTATGTAAAGAGCAGGGTTATAAAATTGTTTAAAGTTACACAGGATACCTGTATGATCAAACAGATTGTGTTAAACCTGCTACTGATAGTAGAACGGGTTTATCACTGTATTAATCAAGTTCTAGTGGTTTTTGTGCCATTACCCCAAAAGGGATCTTCATTATGGATCATAGTAAAAAACAATTTTAATCCAGGCCAAGGGTATATAACTCACAGGCCAATGGTATAATGTTTAATACTGCATCTCTTTTTTTTGTTCAAAGTTGGACATGCTAATGACAAAATCACAAAAAAAAAAAACCCAATGAAAATCAAATGTATTAAATAATAGAGGCCTGGATTTTGAGTCACACACAAAATGAAAGTGAGACTCAGTATTGTGTGGCCTCCGCGTGCCTCTATGATCCTCCTTACAATGCCTTGGCATGTTGCTGATGACGTGTTGGATGGTCTACTGAGGGATCAACTCCCAGACCTGGACTAAAGCATCTGCCAGCTCCTGGACAGTCTGTGGTGCAACATCACTTTGGTGGCCTAGATGTGCTAAATCGATTTAGGTCTGGGAAATGGGGGGGGTCAGGTATATATATATATATATATATATATATATATATATATATATATATATTTCCTTTGGGATGTCATTCTATTTAATTACATTTAGTGTAATTGCATTTTTTGTAAAATCTTAAACTTTGCCACAATGTGTTGTTGTATACCCAATCAGAGCACTTCTTGCTTGCTACAATCTAGCAACAGACAGTTCTATTGGTCGCCGAGTCAGGCTGCAAACACCGGATGTAAGCAGCGCAGTTCCATTTCTGCACAGGAACTCCTCTGACAGACTTTGTGTGTTGTATTGCAGGCTTTTAGTCGTTATGTGCTGATTTAATAGATACCAAAAACACTTCTCGAAAGACAAGAATAGCAAAGCTACAAATGGGTGAAACGTTCAGCTCTAATTTACCGGTCAGACGGACTGGTTCATTTCCTAAATCGGGTTGGGATTCAACTGGACCTGTAAGTTCAATTTAAAATGTGCATAATAACGCCTTTGATGCTGAGTCAGTCAACGGAAAGCCAGAATGATAAGCAAAAAATGGCAATGGACATCTATAAGGTCTGTAAGCTTAAAAGGCATCATGAGAGAAAGACACATTTCAGTGTTATAGAAGTATTCAACCCCCCTCATTTGGCGATGCCATTTTCAACCCTAAATACTATTTTACTATCTTATATAGTTCTGACTTTTATTAAGTTAATAAACAGTTATCAGAAATATTTTATAAAGGATTTTTTTCTTTGAGTAGAACAAAAACAGCCATTAAAATCAGACAGCACAGATGCTCACATTGGTTTTCATGTATGCTATTTAGCATCTTGTTTCTGTTTAATTTGGTTCTTATGGGTGTGTTGCCTACTCTTGTCTCCAATACAGAGTATAGACCTTTATCAAGCCAAAGAACTGTGATTAAATGTAATTAAACATAGTATTATTTTGCTTTTATACGTTTATAGCCAGTTAACATGACAGGAAACATGAATGTATGTCCCATTATCTATAACTAAAAGGGCAGAAATGTTCCCCAGAATCAGGTATTCCACTGAATAAGACAAGTTTTTCTTTTTTTTTTTTTTTCTTTTTTACAATTTTAGGGGTTCAGTCAAGCCTGAAATGATTAATACATTTGACTGATAAAGGAAGGGAAGGGAAGGATTCTCCCTGCATACTTAAAAAGTGGAGATAATTGTGCTCTGTGTTTAACTCATTCTTTAGGGAGCAGTGTCCTGTTAAGAGAAGGAGCATCTGGGAAGCATCCTCAGTGGAGGTCTAGCCCAGCCCAGCAATCCCAGTTTTCTCCAGGACACACGCTACCTGCTCCTTAAGCACATAGGCCTCTACTCCATTTAAAGTGATTGCTCTTTCTTCTGCAACATGGGTGTTTTCACTGGAAAAGTTTAGAAGTGGCTGACCCAGAGTTCTGAAACTGATAGAAATTTGTTGGATGGAGCAGGTTTCTTGGTTATAGTAAAACGCTTCTTAATCTGCCATGGGTATTTATCATTGTTTAAGGCTTGACTGTGTCATCATTAACAATAATAGAAATAAATTACAGATGTTTGCAGTTTCCTCTATAAAACAAATAACAGTGAGATCACGTAAACGCTGCCATGAAGCTCTTCCTTATAAGGTGCTACAGATGTGACATAGCTGGCAAATCACCCTTGACAAACCTCAGTATTTATAATATCCTTGCTTTCTTTCTTTCGAGAACACATTCAGATACTATTTAATTTCATTAAAAGGGATTTAAAACCATAATGAATATTATTTAATAGGACAGCACTGCCAAAATTCCATCACCAGTTGGTCAGAAACTGGCTACAGCTTTTTTTTGTATCTGTATTTAAAATGCATTTACATTGAATAAAATAGTCTATACACCCCTGTGCACACACCAGGTTCTTTTTAAATTCAATTCAGTTCAAATCTAAAAAAAAGAATACTCTATTAATCCCAAAGGGGAATTAAATGATATGGTAAACAGGTGTTGATAGCTGTTTGCAGGATGTATCTCCTGTAGTGGTCTGTCTCACACTGGATCTGGAGAAGCCTCTTACTGAAGGCGCTGTTATTGTTTAAAAATCTTCTGAAGGGGATGCTTACTGTTGTCTATAATGTTCTTCACTTTATGAAGAATTCTTCTTTGTGAAATAATCCACAGAGGTTCTAGATGAGTTCCTAGAACAGAGCTGACCTTTATTATTAGCTTGTCTTGCTTTTATTTTATTTTCCATAATGGAACATTAGAATTTGAACCGGGGATTGTATACTTATCAAACTGAAGTTATTGATTGAAAAATGAATGAGAAACCAGTGATATTTCCTCCTACACTTAGATGCTTGCCCTCATAATTCAGCTTTTTGTCTTGCCAGGACGTACCTATTCCTCTGGACATCCTTGAAGAAATCTTCCTAAATCTGCCTGCCCAACAGGTAGTCTGTGTGTGCCGGTTAGTTTGCCATCAGTGGAAAGATGTGGCAGATAACGAGTCTTTCTGGAGAGAAAGGTGTAGAAGAGAGGGCTACCACCTCCGTAATCCTTCCAAAGTACCAAGGGACTGGAGGTTGTTTTACTTCATGAACAAGAACAGGAGAAATCTAATAACAAATCCAAGAGGAGAAGGTGAACAGATATCAACTTAGAAGAGAGCTGGACACACACCAAAGAAATTAGCTAATAAAAATGAGTCATTATTTTTTCTTGTGCAGCTGGACTGGATGGTTGGAATATAATAAAGAATGGTGGTGATGGATGGAGAGTAGAAAAACCGATGGCACCGCACCCAAATGCAGAAATACAAACCAACTTTGTGACTTCTTTCAGGTGAATATTTACTTGTAGACTCAAAATGGAATTTAAATGCAATTATTTTCGGCAGTTTAAAGCTGAGCTAAACGCAAAACCGTCCAATTTCCCATCATTTCTTGCAGTATGTGTACAAAGTCACAGCTAATTGATTTAAAGAAGGAAGGTTACAGCCAGGCTTTCATGGATGAATTCCAGCCCCATATCAGGGTATCTGACTGGTAAGAAAAAAATGTCAGAGAAATTATCACACTCAGGTGGCTCTGGTTTATAATCTAGATGCATATGAAATTTCAGGGCTGTCCCCCAAGTTTTTCTTTTTTCAGTGAGGATGTTAATGCCAGATCTGGACTGAATCTAATATTTTGTTTCTGTATCGTTAGGTATGCACCGCGCTGTAACTGTGAATACAACATATCTGTGAAGCTGCTGAGAAGCAACAGGAAAGTTATTCAAGAATTCACTCCTGGTACTCTTTACCTACCTGAGAGCGAGAATCACAGGTGGCAACAGGTATGTACAAAATGAACATATACATCCGGACAAATCCTTTGACTAAATTTTTATCTTTCTTCCAGATGATCCATGTGTTTAAGGACTATGGACCAGGAGTGAGATATATCTATTTTGAACATGGCGGTAGAGATCAGGTGTTCTGGGCTGGATGGTACGGCATCCGCTTAACAGAAACATGTATTGAATTATGCCCGGCATGTGACACATAGCTTTATGAAGCCTTATTAAAAAGTGAAAAAGTTTGTGAAATAAAGATTATAATCCTTTTTTTGATCATCATGCCAAAATTCATTTGTCTGTAACAGAGATTACAGGGCACTAAGAGATGAGGTATTCTAAGTAGAAGCATGTGTCGTAAATATAAAGACTGCAAATTACATAGTGCCTGGATATATATGTACTGATTTTAAGAAATGCTTTTTGTATACAACTGTTTTCAAAATCTTGATTTTTAGTTTGTCTAAAACATTCATGTATCTATAACTGAGTCTGCATATATATATATATATTATATAATAGTTTGTTTTTTGGAAATTGGAAAGAAACCAAATCTGCTTGTTCTTTGAACTACAATTCTTAATTTATCCCCCCCCCACACACACACACACATATTACACAATGTAACATCAAATCACAGAATGTTTAATTTGAAGATTTTGTCATAATACTGGTTTATTGTTGTGCCTTTTATCGCAAACAAGATACAGTACAACGTTTTCAAGTTGAATACAATTAAAGACATTTTTTCAGGTTAATTTGACTTCGGCTTCATCTCAGCTTCTTAAAATCTCATGAGTAATGAACAATTTCATTCAGTAAATAAGTTATTAATATATTTACAAGTCACTTCACCTTACGAATTAGGAATGAAAAAGTAAACCCCCATCATTGATTGGTTCAGTCTTTGAACTATAAGCTGTTGCTGATGAGACGCAGGTATGTTAAAGTTACCCAGCAACTGAACAGCTTTTTAAACTTCATCTTGTAAAGAGATCATTCATGTCGTTACGATGGACATTTTCTAACTTTGAAATATATGCTGGGAAAAATTTCCTGTGGCAATAAATAAAAAAAATGTCTAGAGTGTGAACTGCTAAAATGTATTTTAAGCCTCGCAAGTCAAGCATTTATAAGGCTCGGTCTGGGGAAAATTAGGACAAGGGTGGAAATATCCTGCATTGCATGTCATAGATCATCCTAAAGGCCATGCTGAAATGACTGAAAGACATTTTAAATGTAAAGAAACACAGGGATTATTATTGCTTTATGTAAAAAGCTGGTGATAGAATGTTGAAGTCTTAACAATTTAAGTCATTTTCAATGAAATGCAAAACAATTCCAACACTATAACAATAACTATGTGCAGGAAACTTTTAGTTATTCCGAAATCCTTCCATAAAATTAACACTGAAGTTAAATCGAGACGTTTCTCCAGTTTGTGGTTTGTTTAACCAGGCAGGAGTTCGTGAAGTTTCCAACCATCAGTGACATCAAAATTTCTTGCACAGCATAATAGGATAATCAAGTAAAAAAAAAAAAAAAATCCTATAACATTAAACATCTGCTTAGGTTAAGTTGGTGAGAAGGCTAAAACTTGATGACATCTCAACTAACGGTGGAATGTGCTTGTGCAGGAAACTGTATCAGTACTATTAACCGAGTTTGGGAAAACAGAAGTAATAGTGAAGCATCTTAGAGCAGAATGCATTTACGCTTTTTCTTAGGTTCAGGAGGTTCCAGGGCAGCCAGTATTGCCTCATCAAACACATTCTTTAATCCTTTCTGTGGAAACAAAATGTCATTATTCAAAACAAAGCCAATAATAAACTGCTAATTGATGTCAACTGCATTGCAAGCAAAAGAAAGCTGAGTAGAAATGAAGGGAGGCAATTAAAATCTTCCTTTATTCAAACATTAAACAAAAGTCTCATGTTGAATCTCTAAGCAAAGTCACTGGAAACTTCCAATGGGCCAGGAGAGAAAAACCTTCACAGTCCAGCACAGAATACAGCTTAAATGGTTTTGTAGAATATAACAGATGAGCTCAGTGCTGAGAAAACAGCATGTGCTTTAAAAAATGAAATCCTAGAAATGTCCAGGTACAGATGGACGAAAAAAGATTGGCACTCGTGTATCATTTTTCGGCAGCGTGAGTAACTGTGATTAGGCCAAGTTGAAAACAGAGCACAGAAGACAAAAAGAAAAAAATAAATCGGCACAGAGTTTTAAATTTAGTGATTTCTTTACAATGAAAAAGCAGCAGACAATGAAGAGGCAAAGCAAGATGCAAGAAGACATCAGAACAAACAGCATTTTCTCTTTCTCTGAGTTTCAGGGGGCTCTAAAGCGGCTAGGATAGCCTCATCAAATACGTTCTTCAGTCCCCGCTACAGAAAAAGAAAAACATAAAGAGGGAGAAACACATGGACACACACAGTGTTAGATGGCGTTTTGAGCTAAAAGCTGTTAGCAAAAGACAAGCCAAAGTATTTCTAGCGTTACTGTTAGAACAATGGTAAATTCATGCAAGGCTCCGACTAGAAATAGACCTTACCTGAGTTAGGGCTGAGCACTCCACATATTTAACTGCCTTGAGGTCTCGAGCAAGCTTTTCTGCTGTCTCAGGGGTGATTGGCTTCTGTTTGTTCTTAGCCAACTTCTCCACTGTGGAGGGGTCATCACGGAGATCAATCTGTGTGCCTACCAACAGGAACGGGGTCTTAGGACAATGGTGGGTGATTTCAGGAACCCACTGGAGAAGGAAAGTGACAAATTAAAACTGCTATCACAGATAATGTGTCAGAGAAGGCAAGCACATATTCTTGTAGATGTTTGTATGTCAAAAATAAGTACATGTACATATCAATGATTTCAAATATTTTATAAAAGGTATTTTCTGTAAACCCCTTTAAACGTCTTTCTATTCCCTCACAGCTTTTTATATTCTAATAGAGATACCTAGACGGAGAAATTCTGAAGGACACAACACACATCCTTACTACTTATTGAATTTTGCCTGTTTTCTTTCCAGTAAAATTTGAATTAACAGGGAAAAGAAAATCAGTCATAACCAATGCTAATTTACCAAAAGAGTTAAAAAGTGTCCTCTTTTTATTATATAAAGATTTGAAATTGAACAGTACCATTCATCACATGTAGAGAAAGAAAAATGAAGCTGTAGATTATGAGTATTACAGATGTGTATTTCTCTCCACATCATTAGGAGAGACATTAGATAGCTAAAAAAAAAATCATATATTGATAGACTTTTCTTTTTTTTTTTTTTTAGTTACAATCTCCAGCAATATTAAGACGATTTATTTGGATCAATATTGGTTGGTTTGGGGATCCAAACTCAACTCAGCAAACAGCTGCTCAGTGGAACGTGGTAGCTGGCTGCATAGAAATGTTATCAGTTGAAGCCTTTAAGCATTTTTTGGGATGAGTCTGGCAAAGAGATTGGTGCAGCATAGCCCAGACAAAGTGCATGCAGCCAGACTTCCTCTAAGCAAAGCATTGCCTTGCAGGTTTAGAAGCTGCATTAATTTATTAGTCTAAGGCAAAACGGAACAATTACCGCATTGCCTGCAACCTACTTTGTCTTAGTGAGTTTTTAATCACGCACAACACAGCAAAATATAAAAATTACTTCTGCATATCCTCAGGAGGGTTTGGGTTCAGCTTAAAATAGTTAGGCCAAGCTTATTGAACATAGTTATTCATGTTGTCTGAAGGCACTTTAAATATTCTTATTAATTAAGTTTGGAGAACTAGCTAGCCAAGAGTTGACTACACCTAAACTATGCACATTGTAAACTTTCTCATTCACTAAAATCATGTGAAGCCAAGAACTGGAAACTGCAAACTTAAATAAAGATATGTTAATTCAAGTTGGATTAGTCCAAAAATAAATAAGCTGGATGTAAGCCCCGTAAAACAACGGAGTGAATTCTTTAAAAACTGTTTATAATATCTGTGACCAATTGAGTGTTTTTTTTTTATTTTAAAAAGTGTTTAACTAGAGCTGGCCTTAATGTTTCAAGTGCAAAAAAGCCAGAAAAACACAAACTTTGTGTACACACCTTTTCTTTAACATTCTCAAATGAGGAAGGTGAAACAACTGAGAAACAGACTAGGAAAACATCAGTCTGGGGGTAGCTTAGTGGTCGTAACCTGTCGTAATCCTCTTGACCTGTAGAGAAACGAGGCAGAAATTTACACTCAGTACCATATAGCAGTAATGCTGAAGATTCTAGCAGGAAGGAACAATAAAAATCAAAGATGCAGCAGTGTTACTAAGCCTACAACACATTGAAGAAAGTACTTAAGATTTTCAAGAAAGAAACAATACAGCTTTATTTGCCTATTGCAACACAGTACATTTAACTATTTTGATAGGTATGCACTAAATTATTTTATTTTCCTTTAAAGAAAACAAGGTAATTCAATTGTTTACTACTCTGTTAACTAAACTCTGGTTAAAGCCCCTCCCACCATATAACAAAACGTGTGCACTGCTTAACAGGAAGATAAATAAGATTCAAAGGAAGTTTTTGTGTAAATATTAGACTTTAAATGTGCCCTATTTAAACAAAGAACATTAAGAGCCAATTATAATTTTATATTTTTTAATTAAAACTTGAGTAAAAAAAAAATAATAAAAAAAAAGAATATACCTGCTGTATCAAATAAGCCAAGGGTGTATGGTTCACCCCCGATCATTACAGTTACTGCATAGTTGTCAAACACCTGCAATCAAAGAGTAAAATGCTGGATCACAGTCAGATCTTTGGTATTTCTCGGGTTTATCTTTTGCATTTCGCATTACAAAACTTACTGTTGGTACATATTCAGAAGGGAACTTGTTGGTGGTGTATGAAATCAATAAGCAGGTTTTTCCCACTGCTCCATCACCCACCACAACACACTTGATAGTCTGCATCTCTGTGCTTTCGGGTTGCTGCTGACAATTGCGTTAGCTGCAGGAAGAAGGGGAGGAGATAGGTTAGGCCATAAAATATGTTCGACATAAGAAAATATAAAAAAATATATAATTACGATGCATTTTAAAATCCTAATACCAAAAGAATACATTGGTGTAATGCCAGGGAAAGGCAGCATTTCTCCGCTTTAACTTATTCAGTCACACCCCACAATTATCAAAACTGTCTGAATGCTAACGTTAGCTAAATAACAATTACTTGCCTGCTTTATAACTTTACTGGATAAAATACTTCAGAGTATTACTATAAATAAATGTTATACATTTATATTAAGTCAATAAGTTCAACATAAGATAAATGTTAGTTGTTTTTTTAAAGTAAGTTGGATACTGCAGTGCTAGCTAACGCTCAACAATGCTAATAGGAACGTTAGCTTAACCACCAGTCGGTTAACGGTAGTTTGGGTGTTCAGAGTTTCCTATTGCTAGCAAATTACCATATTAAAAAAAAGGGTTTACAATAAACTTTCAATATAATAGCTTCCAATAGTTGGGTAGTTTTTAAAGCCACGTACCTCTGTGTTTTTATCTGATAAGTTGGATGTTTTCGCCGGGCGTTGGCACCAGCGAGCAGAAACTTGGTTCAGCCACTTAGCCCAGTCCTGACGTCCAAACAACAGCCAAGTAAGCCCGAGTAATCCCGGAAATGATTTTAGAAATAAAACTCACACTACTCATTGTAAATTATAAACCAACACTTTACATGAAGATACAGTGAAAGTGACAGCTAAGTTGGAAGACTGAGTGTAATTCCATATATTCATGCTATTTATTTATGGATGTATCTTGTTATTCCGAAAACTATAAATGTTTTCTCACTTAGTTTTATTTTTAAAATCAGTGGTCTTTGGTAATGTTGGCTGACTTTCTATAACGTCATCTGTGGTTCCAAGTGGTTCCTGCAGCAGGGAGGGAGATGTCACCCCATATCCCCCTGACCTTGCATCCGCCCCATACTTCAGTAAAGCTCTGCTCTTAGTCAGTTTATTTACATGATATTTCCCATTAACAACGTTAAATGTTATTTTCCATCCAACTTGGTGTAAAAGTGCTTGATCTAATGTAACAAGTTAACTACTGGGCATATAACTGATTGCTATATATTAGAAAGATAAGCATCATTAGATGTAAATATAATATTCAGCTATATTTTTTTTATTAAAGCAAATGTTCACTAACAATAAAAACACAGGTAATCAAATCAGTTTAAACTGCAGGAAAAATGATTGCTGATTTTTCTGTCTTTATGTTGATGACATCACAGGAGGCACACGAAAAGTTCTGATAATAACCTGATTTTAACAAATTATATGATATTGATTCTGAAACATCTGAGATGTGTGTTAGAGCCAATGGTTTAATAGTAAGTGCATGGGCCCAGGGGCAGAGCTAGAGGGGGCCACCCCTATAATTTTTTCCCCATAATGCTACGTTCACACCGGACGCAGCAAGAGCAGCAAAATTGCGTCTGCTGCTTCCTTTTGCTGCTTGTACCAGTTTAGTTCTGACGCGCGGGTGAAGCAGCTTTGCTGCTCTGGCTGCGCGGTGAAAAAATGGGTCTGACCGTGTGGGTCGGAGCTACTCTATTCTTTATTTGCCTTGCAGCTATATTTGCTGTGATCAGTGGGAATAAAGTAGTTTTAATATTTTTTTAAGTGAGAAAATCCACCTGAAAACTTAAACAGTGTAGTCAGTTCATTCAGATTACCCTCCTGCCTTCCAATATTATCTGTCGGAGCCGCTCAGACCCCCACATACCAGCGGTGCGCTGTCAGTAGGAATCCTATTCAAAAGCAGCCTCTGGCCCGGTCGCCTCCTCGCGGTTCACTGCGGTGGCTAGAAGCGGTTTTTATGTAAACTGTTTCAGAGGAGTGATCACAGTGCTCTGTGTCACCAGCGATGTGTCTGTCTCACGGCCAGCTCCCAGATCAGCGTCTCTGATTGGTTGATGTGGGGCGTCGAGCAGCAAAAGTTCAGATGCTTTAACGCTCCCGACGCGCTGCTTCAGCTGCTCAGACGCGCTGCGCCTGCGGCTCAAAACGCGCTGCGGGACCTTTTGCTGCGCCTTGACGTGCGTCAACCATTGACTTTGCATGTAAACTCGCTGCTTCTGCTGCGTCCGGTGTGAACACAACATAATACTGAAAGTAGCAGCAGTAATACCGTACTCTCAATTTTCAAAACATTTTAATTTTTAATGGATTAACATTTACTTGACAACAAAAACACTGGTTAATTATGTACATCAATATACTAACATTTAATAGAATTCATGCTCTTTTCAGAACTAGATTTTGTGTTATATGGGGTAAAGAGAAAATGCAAGTCAGTCTTCAGTTAAATCATAGAATAATTCTAATAAAAATATAGTAAATAAACAAATTTTGTAGAAATAAGTGCTTGTAAATATCAATTTTATGCAGAATGATTATTGATAAAAGTAGGTAAGTAATGACAATGGAAAAGATGTTTGACCCAGAACTCAAACCTAAGAGAACTTTATCCACCATACCTTTTATCTAGATGGATGTTTAAATATATGCGTACATTTGTTAGCAAAGGCTGTAGGAAAGTATAGTTTGTCTTTATTTGGAAAATATGGATGTTGTGGTTTTTCATTTTCCTGTTTGATCAGTATAGATTGAGACTGAGGTTCTGGTGCCAATCTGCTTTCGGCCACCCTTCAGTGTAAATTGGGTATTGCCTGGCCACCCTTATGAAATTGTTCTGGCTATGCCTCTGCTTTAACCCTGGTGACTCACAAACCATGACATATCTAGTTAAGCTGAACAAATTGGGAGAAATATAGCAGTCTTAAAAAAAAATTTCATTTCTTTTTTATTTAGTTTTTCCATCTAATTGATTCTAATTGACAGCTTGAAAAGAATGTAACTCAAATATTTTCCTTTTCATTAAATAGCTAGTTTGTACGAATATAAGTGAAGTCTGAAGACAAAAGCTTATTTGAACGACTCCTCAATTTTGTACAGCATAGTGATGGATTATTTTTTCCTCTTTCCCTCTTTTGGCAGGAATGATGGTGAACACATATTCTGTAATAGTTGTGGATGAATGGTGTTAGCTAAGTAGTAATAGCTTGTCATAAGAGTGGCTGCCCAGCATAATTTTAGGAGGAAGAACTAGTTGATGCTGCACCAAAATCAAAAAATTATGTTACAGGATGCTCAGTCTAAAGTTTAAACATGACATGACATATGAAGAAAGTAAAAAGGTTTTCATATTTTCAAGATACTATCAGTGACGTACCATTTCACAAATAAATGCACACTGAGTGTTTAAAAAAGATGGCTATTAGAATGAAGATTCAGAGATTCAACATTCCTGGCACATCTTCACTAAATTCTATTTGTAATTTCTAATTTTATATAGCAGTTTAAATATTTTGTAAATTTATTATTTTATTTTGGGAAGATATTATTTGTGGTTATTGTCAGGTTGTGTCGAGATTTGAAGGACCCAAATACAGGGATGGAAGCTCAGGTGGTTTCTTGCAGGTTTAACAATACAAAAGGTGGCAACAGAAGCAAAAATTCCAAAATAACAAAATACAGAAAACTGAAATCCAGGAGACTTAAAGGATAACACACATAAGGGACAAAGAATTGAGGAGGAACCAGCAAAGAGTGACTGAGCAGATGGAGTATATATGGGAGACAGAAACAATGGGAAGACCAATTGGGAGATGAGTAACAGTTGTGGAAATCAGAATCTAGAAGGGAGCTAGGAGAAGGAGACTGACACAAGAGGGCAACAGAAGGTAAACAAGAAATACATAAAAACTCAATTAAACCAAAAACAACTAGAATAACACAAAATGGAAGTAAAAACAAAGAAAACTCAAAAAGAAAACTTAAACAGAGCCAAAACCATGACAGTTATGCTTTTAGTGCTTGCTATTTAAAAAGCTGCACAAAGTCACTCCTTCATCTACTGTTCTACAATATACAGGTAAACCATAATAGACAGGTATTCACAAAACAATAATTGCCAGAAATACCAAAATGCTGGAAAAGGCATGTTGGATGGAGAAAACAGCAGATTACAGTAAAACTACAAAATGTGTCCTGCCTCACTTCCTGTTTTTACTTTAGGCTGTTGGATCTGTGTTTTGTGTTTGTTGCTTACCCATTACCTCACTTAGCAAAGTAGTTTTACAGGAGGTGTAAATAACTTTGACTTAAGAATCCTTCTGTTGGTCAGGGTAATTTAATGAACTACAGTCCTATATAGAAACTTATTTTCTTATATAAAACTAAATAAATATTTTCCAATTAAGTGTGTGAACATTTACACCGTAATGACCTTTTTGAAGAGTTTCAATCACGTTTTAGGCAAAACCATGCAAGTGGGCGAGACAAGGCAGATTTATTTGTATAGCACATTTCAGTAGCAAGACAAGTCAAGGTGATATACCTGATTTGAAAATGAAAAGTACATTTCAGTGGCATAAAGGCAACCCGAATAATAAAGAAGAAAAAAAATTTATAACAAAGATAGGATGATAATATAAAAAAGAGGAAATGATAGGCATCAACGCAGCACTGTACTTTTAAGTCAGTAGTAATATTATGAATATGATAGACTCAAATCTGTACTTCTTGTTATTTTATACCACAATATGTTCTTAGAAAGCTTGAATTTTCTGTAGTGATCCAGAGAAGAGCAATACGCAGATTTAAGTCTTATTTAACCATCGGATTAAAGGCATACCGTGCAAAATTTTTCAGTTAATTAATGTGTTCCATAACGTTTTGGATGGTTAAATGAGTCATTACAGGTTGAACAAAAGTATTCTCGGCCGCCCTGGTGGTCTGTGGGGGAAATAACGCACTTGCAATTGCAGGAGCCATCGGCCCGCACCCACAGGCTCAGAAGTCTCGCGAGAGTCGGTCTTGCTTTACGGCGAGAACTGCTACACGCCCCCAGTGAAAGGCATGCTCGTTGCTAGCGCAGTGGCGATATTTGTACAGTTATCATGGCGGAACCAGAGAGAACAGTGAAAGCCCATGTCGGAGCAGGCAAGAAAGAGGAAAAGGGCTCTGGACAGAGAGGAGTCGTACACGGGTGAACATCGGGCAAGCTTTTTCCGAATGGCGAGAGGTAAAAGAAAAAGAAGACTGCAAGGCTGACGCGGACCTTGCGTTTCTGCTGATGCGATTGTAAGTAACATTGGAATGGTTTCTCTCTCTCTGTGTGCATGTTCATGCTTTCACTGTGTTAGTCATTCGTTGCGTTCGCCTGTCTGCTAAGCTCAAAACAACCGCAACTGGCTTGACGGAGAAACCAGGAGAACAGCTGAGCATATTTACGACAGTGCACTTTTACTTTCGCCTTCTGGGGGGAGCCTCGCTGGAAAATCAACCCCGGTTGCATAGTATACCTTTACAATTTTTTTTTGTCCATTTTGATGATAAATGTTCTTCAAATTCCACGGTTAGATGTGGAGTACCATAAGGATCACTGCCCGGGCAAATTCTACTTACTACACAGTGGAGAATAGGATGGCATGATATTGGCCTGTGGTAATTAGGTAAAAAAAAATAGATGAATGAATAAACCTGCTATTGTTCATTAGAACATGTCATATTAATAACATACAGTATTAAACTGGTTTCTTAGGTTACCTTCCTTCATTTCTGGTTTACAGCCACTATTAAAAACATACTGTCCAAAAGTGAAGCTGAAGAATGTGTCCATGCATTTGGTATTTCAAGGCTGGACTGTAGTAATTCTTTTTATTTAGGAATCCCAACACCTTTGTTATATTCAAAACACTGCAGCCAGAGTTCAGACGAAAATTAAAAAGATAATCTTTTGCCATTTTTAGTTAAAAATTCTTCTAACATAAAGTCAAAAGTAAGTTATAAGTCTTTACAATCATGTTGTTTCAAGACTTTAGAACGACATGCTGTTGGAACATCAGACCCGGGTTGACAAGTTATTTTACATAATTATTGAGTGCGATCTAAAAAGCCAAAGCAACTTTCCAAAGTTTACGTTAGATAAACAAGGGGCAGCACAGGTGAGAAGGATTTGTATGGATAAAAGAGCGAAAAAATAAAGCACATTAACAATGTCCTGGCTTTACTTCTTTAGGTGATATAATTGGTCCTATCTCTTAATCTTTTCTCACTCATGGACATAGTTATTGGCTAAGCCTTTATTATAACTTAGTCTTTGTACTTTCTTTCTATCTTATCTATCTTCTAGATCTTGATTCTGGCTCAGAGCTCATCTGCACTGCTGTGTTTTTATGGTTGAAGAAGTCAGTACCGTTTACCTTTATCTCTCATAGAAAGCATAACAGGATTAGTGCTTCTCTATTCTTTTTGCATGTCTGCACAATAAAAGAATCCCCCACTTGGTCTCGGAAGAAGGCGGTTGACACTGTGCGTGGTACTGTTGAAGGATTCTTTCTGTTAGAGGGAAATTTTCCTTTCGACTTTTACCACACACAGGCTTGGTATGAGATTGCTGCAAAGTCAGGGACACAAGTGACTGTCTTCAGCAAGTTACCACATGCTCATCCAGGAGGAGTTAATGCTGCAAGGCAATGACGAGATACAGTCTCCTGGAAGTCCTTAGAAAGACACCTTTTAATCATCTGCACTTGTAATAGTTGCTTGTATCCAAAACGTCCTATTGTTACACAACACCAGGCAGTTGAAAACTTAAGCCCGTCACTGCTGCTGTGTTGCTACCTTATTTCATGTACTCCCTGAAATATATGTATAACTGAATCAATTTGTGATTCTATTATACATATAAGTAGAAGTTTGCATCATTTTATTATCTGTTTTTTTGGGCTGAAGTCATAGTTTCATTGTCACCCAATGCTGGGTTACCCAGTTTAGCAATAAAAAATAACAGATCATGCAATTCCTCTTTTAGAAATAGACAAAAGCTTTATCTGAAAATAGTTAATATTTAAACAAAAAAAATAGTTTTACTTTTCACCTTCATTACAATAACTTTGTATTATTGGTATTAACAAAGATAAAATAAATATTTAATAGTGCGGAAATCCATGCATGACAAAATCTACAGCAAAACAAAAAGGTTTTTAAAAGAGATAGTCTAGGATTTTGGAAGGGAGGTTTTGTTAAAAGATTATAATAAGGTTATTTCTTACCTCCAGTATATATTTCCTGTTGTGTTTTCATTTTATATAAATCCAGATTCCTAGAAGCTAGAACTGATAGGGTCTAAAAACAAAGGTGCTTGCGGTTATAAACAGCGGTGATGTAAATATAGTGAGAAGGAAGACCTACAGTATGGGTAAGAAATTAACTGGTTATAACATTTTAATACAGCGCCACTTTAAAAATCTCAGGCCATCCTTTTGAGCGTTGAATATTTATTGCATTAATAACAGTCAAGTTAAAAAGGTAGACACTCCTGTGATTCAAAGACTAAAAAATAATATAAAAAACAAAGGAACATTTCAAAAAGCTGAACTATGAAATGGTGATTGTGTTATCGTGCACTGTTTGCTCTGTTTTGGCCGACCCATTCTGATCTGCTGCTGGCTCCTCTACCATTGCTGACTTCTTTGATGTTCCTGTTCAGATTTTAGGAGGATAAAGAAAAAAATTGAATAAATAAGAAGGATGACATAATAACTCTTTGTAAACCATAATCTACCGTGTTTAAGGATTCTTGTCGCAGAGTTACCTGTGAGGTAATTTCTGTGCATTCGATGAAACAGCAGGAGACCAATGAAGAGGATAAAACCGATGCAGGCGATTATCATTCCACACAGCAAAAAGCTGTAGCTCCCCGCAGTTTGTATGATCTGTTGATAAGACAGCACCATTAAACATAAATCCAAATAAAAACCTACGTTTGCCGAAAAAGATAGAATTCTTCTTATGTGTAGATTATCTGTAAACAAATGAAACTTACAGAACCAACTAGAACCTGCATCACCATCTCTCCCATCCCTGCACTTGTCACCAGGACTGAGGTGGCACATCCTGCAAGAAAAAAAAAAAAGGTTATTATTTCACTTTCCTTTCAAGTAAAGTGTTATCTTTATTTAAATGTTTTTCTATACCCTGGTAATCAAGAATATCTTCAGTGTAGGCAAGCATACAGGGGAATATACTGCTCAGGAAAAGTCCACATAAACAGGTTCCAACAAAGAGAAAGATGCTGCTGGTGTAGAAAATGAGCAACATCAACACTGTAACAATAGCTCCTGCCTGAAAAAAAGAAAAACAATTTTTAGCCCATTGTTACTTGTAATAGAGTTTAAGCCTGTGTCCTTTATTGTGTTTCCTGTGTACCGGTATTTATTTTTTTCATCTGGATATATTAATGTAATTTGTTGATCAATGTGCAGTAGAAAACTAACTTCCTATACTGTATACGTTTTGTCTAATATTTAACATGGTGGTGGCAGTATCATGATTTGGGGATGTTTTCTCTGGCAGCATAATGACCGTCTTGTGAGTTTTTTTTTTAAAAGACAAACAGAGCTAATTACAGGACAGTCATTTAAAGAAAGGAAGTAGGGGCTGCAAAAGGCTTGAGACTGGGTCAAAGATCACCTTTCAGTTGCTCTAATCATACAGCCAGAGCTACTATACTCAACTGCTACAGCTCAATGTATATTTACAGCATATGAAAAAGAAAATTGGATGATTATTAAACAGTTAATAGTAATTAATTCACAAAGTGACACGTGTAGGTATGACTTTAGTTATTTATGAATATATTCCACTTACAGCTCATAAAAAATAAAACTTTTAAAATTAGAATATTACAACCGACTAAAAAAGCCTTTCAATACAGAAATGTAGGCTCAATGAAATGCATGTTCAAATCCCGCCTAGGGGTTTTCATTTTCAGTAAGTGCTGATTTATGAATAGGACAGTATAACCACAACCTATCTCTGACTTAGGTCCTGTGATTGCTCATGAAAATTAATCTTCACAGGTGTTCTTCATTCAGTCTTACTGAGGCATACAATATGAATGGTATATGTTTCTGTCTCTCGATGGTTGCAAGAGACAGCACCCAAAAGATTTACAGCTGTAAATGCATTGAGAACCATTTTACAAAGCATGAGCTCAGCAGGATGAAATTAAATGCTCATCACAGTTCCCAGACTTCCTTAGTGAAAAACCTTTAAAACCATGTATCTCTTTTTCTGCCACTTTGGAATTGCTAGTTTATGTTGGTTTTTTGCACAAAGAAGTTTGTGATAAAAAAAAAAAAAAAAAAGAAAAAACGGGGGGAAATAGTGCAAGGTGCTGCGCTGTATTATGAGATAGTGTTCCAATAATTTCTTAATTTCAGCTTACCAGGTTGAACATCAGTAGTCTCACTGGTTGGAAACGATATGAAAGAGGAATAGACAAGAGTCGTCCAGCAGTGATTGCTGCCCAAAAAATACTAGCCAGGTAACCGGCCGTCTTGTTCGGCAATGACATCGGTGGAGCCACTGCGTAGGTATAAACAAAGCCGGCATATGCTCCCTGTGAAGAAAATCCAGCATCTTTCATGTGCCTTGCATTCTATCTTTTATGGGATGCATATCTTGTAAAGACCAGTAAAAGTTTATGTGGAAAATAATGAATGGGAAATGAATACAGTGTAATTTATCAGCAGCCTTCACTCACCACAATGCCATCGGTCATAAAGAGCACCATCCCTCCAAGGATATGAATCATAAAGAAGGATACTGGCAATCCTCGCAAGTTATCATTCTGACAGCAGCTGAAGATACTCCCATGACCTGTGGAAAAAAAAAAAAAGTTAGAAATGATATATCTTGTGCTTGAAGTAGCATTTATTGTTTTCTTTTCATATTCCCTGATAGAGCTTTCAATGAAAGTGTCTGTAATTTGTAAAGGAATATGAGATGAATTATAATAAAAGAAAAACAAAAAGTCTTTCCAGCATATACCTCCGGCTTCATGTTCCTTCTGCTCCAGGTCCGGGCCCCCAGCCCCCTGCTGGGTCTCCATTGCTAGTTCATCCTTGTCTAAAAGACGTGGAGTGCTGCCAGGGCAGCAAGGGAGTAACTTCTCCCGATACATGAGATATAGCACAGCAATGGGCACAGGAAGCTGAAAGAGCAAAATAGAATTATTTCTATCAAATAGAAAAACATAAACTAAAATAAATATAAAAAGCCACTAATGAATGACTGCTGAGTCTCTTACATTAATAAGTGCCATGATCCAGAAAGCGTACTGCACAATGGGCTCCTCTTTCTCCCCTCCATCATGTGGCAGGTGGCTCTGAGTTGTGTTGTGCTCCATAATCGGACTGTGTCTCAGCATGCTCCTGAAATGATGCATGATCTCGGTCTCATTCCCCGTATGATTCCCACAGCCTGTTTCGGAGAGGAAAGGATCTGCAATCAGTGGGCTCACCAGGGCACCGAACCCAATGAAGAAGTGCAGAGCCTGCAAGAATATATAAGGACAATGTACAGTCAAAATGCTGGAGTTTTTGTAAAACAAAAAACAAAAACTGCATATCTCTATCTTCTATTGTTTAAACAAATGTCTCCTTGCTGATAAAAAAAATGGTAGATATATTTTACCTGTAAGAAAATAGCTGAATCCCTTTGATAGATGGTCACCAGTTGAATGTTTGCAATGGTGTCGATAATACCCATTGCAAAACCAGAAACAGCCATGGCAATAGCCAGTACAAGGACATTATTGCATACAGGGATGATGGCGAATATTACAGAGATGAGAAGAGCTGAGACAAATAGTGCAGCTAGAGCACTGAATAACCTTTAAGGACAAAAAGGGATAGAGAAAAATACAGTTAAAGAGAAGGAGAACCTCTTGCAGCTCACTTGTTTTGTGATACATACGTTCTCTTGAAAATCCCACCAATAGAACTGCCAATCAATAAGCAGAACTGCTGAGCAAAGAACACCCAGGTAATCTGACTAAGTGTTGAGTTTGTTTGACATTGCAAGTCCAAAATTGTAGGTCCAAGAAAAGCAATGCAGAGTCCAAAGCTGAAGAAAACGCTCCAATAAGTCAGCGTGTGATGGGCATTTCGCTTGAATAGAGTTACAATCCGCTCATCTATGAACATCTTGAGTATAACTGACAGCCAAATATATTTGTTGAATATTACAGGTGGAGTATGCCAATGAAGATCTGAGGTTCTATAGAGTTCTGCAGCGGTGAATTTGGTTTATGGATCTCTTTTAAAGCATCCAGGTCTCTCCCTTTTTACATTGCTCAACTGAAAAGGATGTCCTCGAGTTAATGGATGAAAGTTGTTTCCTCCAACAATAATATGCCAATCTGAAAGGTATCAATGATTGACTGAGAAAGAGGCTCTTCGTTGAAATGCTACAAGAAAGTTAACAATTGTGTGTCAGTATCTGAGTCATTTTGATGGAAAATCTGATACAGGAAGCAACAACTCAGATTTCTCATGTACTGCATGATCTGATTTGATAAATGTAAATAATTCAAAGTCTATATTTGGGAATGATAACCATCATGACAGATATGATCAAAAAAATTTTCATTCATTCATTTTAAATTTTAAATTTAAAAAAATCCATCTGTTATCTCAGTGGTATAATCCCTCAATAAAAGGGTGGAAGCATTTCAAAATGTTATTCTGTATTTTATTTCTTTGAAATTAAAACCTCCCCTTAATAACTAAATCTTTTTAACAACTTCCCGGTTACCACAACTCTTACATGTGCTGTAAAAAATGCAGAACAGAAGTTTTATTTTAATTCCATTTACTCTCATTTAATCTCAAATTTTCTGGATTTATGTAAGACAGTAATCCTGATGCTGGTTCACCTTAGCCATCTTTAAAATAGGAAAGGAAGAATAAACCATTTACTTAAGGTTGGTGTGGTTTGTCCTACATAAGTCAGAATAGGCTTAAAGAAGAAAGCTTATTGGCTTAACTTGCCCACATCTGTGATCAAAGAAACCACCTCAAATTTTGAAAACAATCATTAGTAAAGAAAAATGCTGAGTTCTTTATTAACATACAGTCCAGATGGATCCGATGTAATGTAGGAGTCCAACGCTACAGAATATCTGTGATGCTGTGAGCCTTTCTAGTTTCTAGCTTAGAGATCAGTCTTGTCCAAGTATAGGACAACAGCTCTAAATTCATCAGTCTAACAGGAGTCCTTAAAGTATAGGGTTGTTTTAGAGCATAGCTCACACAGTTTTATTAATATATATATATTTATGTACTAATAATTTATTCCTCAATGGATGAATGCATTCAAAGAGCTAATTGAGTAAAAAATTAAATCAAAACAGTGCAACCTCATTTCACTGCATAAATGAATCCTTTTCTAAGGTTTCAATACCTGTGAACAGCATAGTACTAACCCAAATGCAGCTCCAACGGAGCCAGATAAATAAAATCCACACCATAAAATCCAGTTATTTATGACTATTCTAAAAAGCTTGCAAAGCGGTTACACTTAAATAAAATAAGCTAAAAAAAAGTAGGTATTTTAAGTAGTGCTACCCAAAGGTTTATTTTTAAAGTATACCTATACCAGAGTTCAAGGAACTAAAATAATTAACTATTTAGCTGTTGTCTTACTTTAGATGTACACATTTGTTACATGCCTAAAATATTCATGAATCAATCAAAAACTGATTCCAATCTTCTAAAACATTGGGAAATCCAATTATAAATAAAAACTAAAGGTAACAACACAGTTTAAAATGTTTTCTTTTCTTGAAAGATCGTGTTTAATGACATCCACAAAGATCATGCTGTAAAATCAGCAATAGAGTAAACACTTCAGAGGTATTTCAGCCAACTTTGGTAAAGTACAGGCCGACGGCCTAACAAAATCCCTAACAAAATTACGTAAACTTTACAATAAAGAGTACATGTGAAAAAAACAAACACAGAAACAATATGAGCAAATAACGGTCCAAACAAGAGATTGAAAAAGCCTCAGGTAGGTTCTAGAGATCCTTAAGAACTATGTGTCTGTCAGCAATGATGCCGTACAGTAGACACTAAAGGGAGAACTGATTTCGACCGAGTAGCACATCTTCATGGACAACAGGCAGACACTTGGACCAAGGACAACTTTTAATTTCATGCTGTTCACTCTATATTTTCGTTAGAAAGTAAAATCAAGATATTAGATTCTAGATTACACAGTAATAGCAATGTAAAAAAAATATTTCATAGTCCCATTTCTGTCATCTAATACACGTTCTTCACATTTAGTGCTTCTTTATAACAAATACTGTAGGAGCGACATGCTGACTATAAATTCTAGATCTAATCTAAGATATTGGGCTGCATGGTGGGCCGGTGGGTAGAACTGTTGCCTTGCAGCAAGAAGGTTTCTGGGTTCGTTCGGATGCATGGCCCGGGGGTCTTTCTGCATGGAGTTTGCATGTTTTCCCTGTGCATGTGTGGGTTCTTTTCAGGTACTCCAGCTCCCTCCCACAGCCCAAAAAACATGACTCCTAGGTTAATTGGCTTCTCTAAATTGTCATTAGGTGTGAGTGTGTGTGTGTGCATGGTTGTGTGTCTTTGTGTGTCTCTGTGTTGCCCTGCAACAGACTTGCGACCTGTTCATGGTGTACCCTGGCTCTTGATCATAGACTGCTGGAGATAGGCATGTGGTGACCATTTGCTCTCTGTGTTTATTGTGCATATTTAACACAAATGTTATTTTGTACATCTTATATAATTCAATAAAAAAGAAGAAACTTATAACTGTGCATTACCATTACCACTACAGTGTAGTGTAGTTATTTTTGCTTCTTCAATTCAAATAAAGTCATATTTTGAGTTTTTCACAATTTAAGTGACTTTTACTTCTCCAGCACAAATCATAATAGCAAAATCTTACTAATCTAGTAAAGTTAATTCATATAGAATAAATCTGGACAGCTACTGTGTCTCAAAGCACTAGGAAAGAAACAGTCAGACAAACTCTGAGCTGGTCTTCATGTAAAAAAAAAAAAAAAAAAAGGATGAAAGAGACTGGATTGCCATAGCAGAAAGAGAGCTGAACCCATAGCAGAGGAAACTGTATCATCTATAATGGAAGTTGCTGATGGCATCAGCCCAGCTGATTCCTCCCTCCAGGAATGGGGTCCCAGCTAAACAGAGCTCCAAGAAAGATGGAGCTGAAATAACACAGAGAATGCAATGTTAGAAGTTGAACTAACAAATAATTCAGAAATAGAAAGTAGAAGAACAGTGAAACAGTATGATGAACAGTGGTCCCTATGTCCTCCAGCAGCCTAAGGCTATAGCAGCATAATTAAAGAGACAGCTAAAGATAGTTTAAGCCACTGTAACTATAAGCTATACCAAAAAGAAAAGTTTTAACCCTAGATTTAAAAGTAGATAGGGTTTCTGACTCACAGACTAAAAATAGTAGTTAGTTTGTTTGTTTAATTAAAAGTGCTTCCTCCATTTCTACTTTTAGAATTTCTAGAAACCACTGATAAACATGGAAATTGAGAACAAAGTGCTCTATTAGAACACAAGGAACAATCCGATTTCTGTTATAATATGGAGACTGTTTTCTTTCTGTATATGTGAGAAAATTGAATGTTAAATGTTATTCTGGATTTAATAGGTGGCCAATGCAGAGAAATGCTGGTGAAGATTCTCAGTCACTCAGGTCATAGTCATTCTGAAAAATGTAAAAAAAAAAAAAAACAATCCACTGCAATTTGTTTCCATGTTTTAAGACGTCTCGCTTCCCATCATGAAATTCTCTTTAATGCCATCCCTTTCAGAGACATAGACAGGTATGGGGTACAGTCTGAATTTAAAAAAACGTCCTCGATGGGAAGCGAAACGTCTTGAAACTTGGAAACAAAGTCCAGTGAATTGTTTTTGTTGTTTTTTTTTTCAGAAAGAGATAAATATGTTTGTAGTAACATAACTATGATATTTTGTTACTTGGAAATTATGTGTTACACAGGAGTAAATTGGCAAGTTTGTTTTTCAATAGTTAAGCAAATTAATTTATAGTTCCATTTGTGATAATGTATAAGTAAGGGGTACATTGAATTCATAAGAGATGGAGAATGGATGTTGCATTGATTAACCTGAACAAAGTTAAATCTATGTACATTTGTGTGATGGAACATGTATCACCTGTGGATACAGGGTTACTTTATCAGAAATGGTGTCACTGATTTGGAATGATTATAGTGCTCCTATGATGAATCAAGAATTTGATAGCCTTTGTTATGCGTTTTTATCCATTCACTGTTATGCTCCAATTCCAGTCTATCAGGTTCCAGTTTTTAACATTGCAAATTAAGTTTTTTTTATTTCATCTGGGTTGTTTTCATTTCTTTCAGTGAAAAAATAGTTTATTTAGTTTATGTTCCTTTTTTTTAATGTTTCAATTTTCATTAATCTAAATGTCTGTGAGAGAACATGTACATAGGTTTGTATTAGATGTTAATATGGCAATCACACCATTGCAAACTCGACTTTAAAAAGTGGACTTAATACCTAATCTATTTCATGACCAATAAAAGAGGAAACTCTTCTGCTGTTTATGACCAAATATGGGCATCTGCCTAACTCTTAAAAGAGGCAAAAAGAACCATAGTCCTGCAGTTTTTTTTCTTAACTTGGAAGTTTAGTTTATTCATCTTTTGGGTGATGGTTGTGAAAGATTGTTATAGCAAGTTATTGACATCAATCTTCAACTGTTCTGTCTGTGCATCAGGTAATTCTGATGCCAGGTCATTTCCTTATGCTAGTTGACGGGTTCTTATCTTGCTTCTGTGATTTAATTTGCCTAAAACACAATCGACATGAGTCTATCAGCATTTTTCAGCTGCATTAAAACACAACAACAACATCTTTGCTTTCATTTTATGCAAAATATGTAATTTTTTCTTGAGATTGTATCTCCTCCAGCTGAGATATCTTTCAGAGTCAGCCAAGCAAAGCCTCCAGCTGTGTAACTGATTTGCCAACAGTTGAACATGTTGGTTATGTTCTAAACCCTTAGAAATATGTGTATTTTTAAAACAGACATTCATTAACATTTGCTTCCTCCCCTGGAGATACAGCAACATAGGTAGAGCTGTCTTTTTAACTGTCAACCAACATTATCATGGAGAAAAGTGTTAAAAATAAACAGCAAATTTGGTACCTAAAGTAGGCCATTTGTTTCTGAACTGAAACATACCAGTTTTCAACATCTGGAATTTTAAA